CCACCCTTCCCTATTTGGCAGTTCCCTCGGGCTCCCTTACAGGCCTGCACACTCCCTCGTTCTCCAGGAACTTAGTTAGTGTCGGCTGTCTTCAGGACCTTGGCGTCACTACTATGTTCCCCGGAAATTAGCGGTACGTGGTCAGTACCGAGGCTGCCACTGGTGCCCCTCTCACCACGTTCCCCCAGGACTCGGTGTCTGGCATATTTACGCTTGACACCGCGTCCCTCCCGGTGGGGGCGTCTCCCCATGTGGCCGAACCCTTCCAGATCGCTGCGGCTTGCTCGCGTCAGTTGCTCACTCACACGTCACTTCTGTGGCACCGCCGCCTAGGTCACCCTGCACTCCCGCGTCTGCGTCACATATCTCAGCACGGTCTTGTCTTAGGTCTCCCCGCGTCGCTCCCTGCTCTCCCTCTCTCGCCTGCGCCGCCGTGCACGCTCTGCTTCGAGTGACGGCTGCGACGTGCTCCTCACTCCTCCTCGCTTCCCCTTACCATTCCGCCACTCCAGACCCTGCACCTGGACATCTGGGGCCCAGGCCCCGTCCTTGGGCCGCGTTCGAGAGCGCTACTTTCTAGTGCTTGTTGATGACTATACGCGTTACACCATGGTGTTTCCCCTGGAGCGGAAGGACGACGTGCCTGACATTCTTATCCCGTGGATCGTAGTTGCGTGAGTCCACCGCGGCCTCCCTGTGTTGCGTCTTCACGCCGACCGTGGCGGCGAGTTCGCCTCCGGTCGGCTTGGCCAATTCTGTCGTGCAAATGGCATCACCAAGTCGTACACCCTGCCGGACTCCCCATAGCAGAATGGGGTCACTGAGCGACGCATCGAGTTTGGTCATGGAGGTGGCTCGTACCTCCATGATCCATGCCGGTGCACCCCATTTTGTATGGTTGTTTGCTGTTCGCTACGCCGCTCACCAGCTTAACATGTGGCCACAATCCCAGCGGTTGCAAGTTTCGACGACCCTTCTTTAAACCGGGTCCCCTAGTGACGCGTCTGCGCTCCACGTCTGGGGCTGCCTCGCTCACGTTCATGCCTCTGGCACGGACATGCTCACTGCCCGCACTGTCTCTTTTGCCTTCCTTGGCTTCCCCCTAGACGCGTCTGGCTATCACTTTTACCAGCCGCCGTCTCACCGTTTCTTTCGCTCTCGTAACGTCACTTTTGACGAGTTTGTCTCCTTCTACACCCGGTTTCCCCACCGAGGTCTCCTGATTACCCTGCCCTTATTTTTGGTTCCCACTCCCCCAGTAGCCCTTGCTCCTCTCCCTCCCCGTCCCGCCCCGTCTGGTGTGACTCACGTCACTCCCCTCCCGTCGGTTGTCCCGGTAGAGGAGTCGGTTGACTCAGGGGGCCCTGCGGCTCTGGTTTCACCACATGACTCCGCCCTGGTGTCTCCTCCTCCGCCGCCGTAGCAGCCACCGACATCGCCATCGTCGCAGACGCAACAACAGCCGTAGTCGTCGTCGCCGCAGCCGCAGCCGCAACCGCAGCCGCAGCCTCCGCAGGGGTCCGCGAGCTCTAGGGGTGCGGGCGTTGAGAAGGGTGCTAGTCGTAGGGGTACTGTCGTGGCTTGTCTCCGCGGTTTTGGGAGTGGCACCCGTTTTTGAGAGGATTCTTGTTCTAGGGGTGCTGGTTCTAGGGGTGCTAGTCCTGGGGGTACTGTCGTGGCTTGTCCCGGCAGAACTAGGGGTGGCATCGGTGCTAGAGAGGGTTCTCCTTCTTGGGGTGCTGTTGTGGAGCATCCAGGAGGTAGCCGTGGTACGGTTGGAGGTTTTCGCATCAGCGTGGAACAGCAACAGCAATCGCCGTCATTGTCCGCCCTTCGCCTCCTGGGTCTTCCCTCCTCCGACCGCCCGATTGCGTCTCCCCCGCCGCCACCTCCCCCGCCTGTCTACGGCCCTGTGTTTCCTCCGCCAGACTCGTACCCGGCTCATTTCCCCCCTCGTTCTCCTCCTGTGTCTCCTCCCTTGTCTCTTGACCCGACCCCCCCCTCCCATTGGTGGTCTCACCATGCCTCTCGTGCTCGTCCTGTTTCTCCTGTCCAGCGCTCTCACCCTATGTTGCTCCGCTCTTACGCATCTCGTGCTCCTCTTTACCGTCCCCTCCTCAGTCGTCACATGTTGTCTCTCCGCCTCCTCTCTGTGACTTCCTTTGTGCTGCTAGTCCGCTATATTCTCGCGTTCTCATCTCTCTAGTTACCGACCTGTCCGTTCCTGTCTCCAGTCTTGACTCACTTGTCCCTTACGTCGCTAACTTTGCCTCTACCTGCCTCCTTGACTACGTCACAGCTCTGGTCTCTGACCCTGCCCATCCTCTATCCGTCGGGAGTGCACTTGCCATTGGCAGTGACATCCTAGAGGACAGGCAAACGAGCTAGCTTTCCTGTCTGAGGCCGCTCCCCATCTCTCCTCCATGCTGCTAGTCCCTGAGGGTGACCCAGACCCCCTTGACATCCCGACACCTCGCTCTTACGCTGAGGCGACCTCTGGACCCTAGGCCTCTTAGTGGATAGCTGCCATGGACGTGGAGATGGCATCTTCGAGATCCACCGGCACCTACATCGACGCAGTTCCCCCACCTGGGGTGAACTCTTCAAGATGAAGCACCCTCTTAGAGAGCTGCCGGTGTTTAAGGCGCGCTACGTTGCTAGAGGCTTGAGTCAGCGAATGGTGTTGACTTCTTTCAGACCTTCGCCCCGACCCAAAAGATGACCACTCTTCGGGTGCTGCTACTTGTAGCAGCACAGCGTTTCTCCATGGCACTCTGCACGAGCAGGTCTATTTGCGCCGTCCGACAGGCTTCACCGGCACCTTCGCCCCTGGGTTTTGTGTTATCTCGCAAGTACATCGGACATGGGGCTAGTGTTATGAGGACGCATGTCAGTGGTCCTTACAGGGCACACAGACGCTTCGTGGGTGAATGACGCTGAGACGCTCAGGTCCTCCTAGGGCTACTACTTTATTCTTGGTGCAGGCGCCATCTCGTGGAGGTCCACCCGCTCGTCGTCTGTTGCAGAGTCTAGCTGTGAGGTTGAGATCTACGCTGGTGCCATGGCCGCAAAAGAGCTCCGCTGGCTGACTTTCTTGGTCACTGACTTTGGTGAACGGCCTAGCTCTGCCCCAGTTGTGTATGCTGACAACAGGGCCATGATCCTCCTTTGTTAGGAGCCTCGACTGGAGGGCAGAGCGAAGGCAGTTGCGCTTAAAGATCATCAACGGCACTGTGTACAGCTTGATCTAATTCTAGTAGCTCGTCACTTGCTAGGACCTTGATTCTGTAGTACTCTTTTATATATTCTCCTAAATGGCCTTGTGGCTTCTGTTCCAGTGGCCGGAGTAGTAGTGCCGCCCTAGTTTGCTCGTCTAGTTTGTACTCTTCTGACTAGTCTTCGGACCCTTGCCTCAGAGGTTGGACTGGTAGTGCCACCCTGAGCTGCATGTCTGTTGCCAGGCACTGCCTCTTGTATAGTCTAAGGGGTGTGTCAACATATTTGTATATTGTTATTGGTTAGATAGGTGCACACTTATATAGAGCACACCACCATAGCACAAAATTTGTCTATATGCCTCATTCTAGTCATTGCGTTATTTTGAGAGGTGGCCCAAGCCACAACCAAGGAACGCGTAGCCGTTCGGACTGGTGTACCGTGTCTAGGAAACTCTGGAAGTCGAAGGCATTTGGGGGCAAGACGATGACAAGACTAATGCATTTGTAGTACAGGCAGTTACCCGACTCGTGAACGGTTACCAAGTCATAAAATAGCCCCGAATGGACTGCACCTCTTTAAATTACATGGCTAGCTATGACATATCATATTCTCGAGTACCGTCACATAAACTATGTATCCATCTAGCTTAATCGTATTGTTATATTTAATTCACTCTAACACTGTCATAAACCAAAGATAATGTTTCCACCACCTAAGATATCACGAGCTTTCATTCCTGACGATCGAATGACCTCCGTGGTCGTATCACGAGGGAATGCATTTTGTCACAGTCAAAAAAATTATTGTGTTCTATTTGTAGTTGGGATCTATATCCCAATGTATTGAAAGTGGATGAGTGTAGCGCATAGCCAGGTGCCAAAATTCTGTGAACTTCACTTATCAGGTTCATGCGCTGCGTTGTCAGGTGTAACCTGAAGGGCCGATACATGCGGCGAGAAGCTCGCTTTCCTTTCTCACAGGAAAACGCATCCCATTTCCGTCTGCTTTCGATTCGGTCAGACGGCGAAAGTTTTGGCACGTGCAGAAAGTCAACGTTTTCGTGTATTCGTCAAATATGTCACATTCAATTCCTTTGCAGTCACGATGTGACACATAAATTGCTTCTATAATCCATTCAGATTACCTTTTCGGTAGCAATGGAGCATTTTGTCCCTCCACGCATCAACGCAACTTGGCCCAGCAGGAATTTTTTTCAGATGTGGTTTGGCTGGGGAAGGAGTCTGAGGAGAGCCCTATTCTGGGTTTCTGTGTCAAAGGCGCTGCACTGCCCAGCATCATATTTCAAGTGTATATACCATTTCGACCCCAGTGAGAGAGTAGATTACATCCGGTGTAGGCGCTCCCAACCGGCCGCTATTTTAGCCCGATGTGGTTCGGCTAACCTGTATTATTCTCCTTTTTCTCCAGCAGGACATAGTGAAGCATGGCGTCGACGTCTCCTCCATGCCCTCTGGAATGTTTCATCTAGGCAAAGGTGAAAAGCATTTTCAACTTGCCTTGACATCCTCCAGTCACCCACTCCTACCTCCTGCTCCTCCCCGCCCCCCATCGCGTTTCATTCCATCCCATTCGTTCGCCGCGCCTCGTTGTTGTGTCTTGTAGCCACATCACATGGAGATGTGAGTGTGTTGGAGAAATCGTGCCCCCCTTTTCGGCTTTCCCGCTTCCCCCCCCCCTCCCCCCCCCCCCCCCCCCCCTCGACTGATGCTATTTTGCCGTTCCGCCAGCTGAGGGGTTTTCCTTCCCACCCCGCAGGTAAAACATTTGGGACAAAGCAGCGGCAGTTGCGGCAGGCACGCACAGCCACGAGCTTTTCGCTAGCCCATTTCCTAATCTCTAAGCTTGGATTGTAGGAACTATCCGCACGATGGCCCCTTGTCAAACACCCGTACGGCATATTCGAGCATCCTCTGCCGGAATCGCCTAAGTTCAGGTCCCTCTCAGCTTGGCTCGTGTAACAAACCTTGCAAGATTCGACACCTTTTCACGGATTGAAAGAAAGACGCCTACGTTTCAAGCCCAACCGGCAGTAGTCGAGGCATAGATTCGCAACAGACGACATTCTCCTTTCGTCTTTTCGGCCTTACCCCTAGTGAAGTCCGAACTGGTATGGCCGCGTTGGGCGGCGGATGGGCGGACGCCCTGCGCAAAGCCGCGCGGGCCAAGGCGGAGCCATGGCCGCCTTTCGACGCGGCGTCCCCAAAGCCCGACCGCCAATGGCCGCCGGCCGCTCTCCCCCTCGCCGGTCCCTCCGCGCACGCCATTTCCGCAGCTTCCGCCTCGCCCGCGCAGCCTCCGCCACCAGCTTCCGCCACGTACCACGCTTTCCCGCCTTCCGCCAAACACTCTCCGCCTCGTTCCCCCGATACTCCCCCCATGCCCGGCCGCGCTCACGTCGGTGCACTATTAGCGCGAGGGGGGGCGGCTGCGGCGGCGCAGGGCGGATGTTCCGCCATGGGCGCGGCACCGTCCGCGCAGGAGATGCGCGCGCTCGAGGAGGCGAACGCTTTGTTGAATGCTCTGTTTGGGCCGAACGCAGATCTCGCTGCGGTAATCGGAAACCGACGGAATCCGTCAACTGATGGATCTCATCCGTCGCCACGGCCGGAAAAAGCCGACGAGAAAGCTGGGACGCCGAGAAATGCCGGCGCGTGGCAGCGAGGGGGGGGAGCGTGGGACGAGGAAGCGATACTAATGCAAACACCGCGCGGCTATTCAACACTGAAAGATTCTCCTCGCCATCACCCGAAGCACGACGAGCAACGCTACCATTCCAAAGTCCCCTGCCCCAGCCCGCGCCCCCCTCCCGCGCAAAGGCGCAGTGCGGCGAAGAAAAAGTTCGGGCTCGGCGCGCAGTCAACCAGAGTAACCGCCCTGCCAGGACGGCCGTCTGGTCCGCCGTTGTCTGCCGCTGAGTTGCCGGCGCCGTCAAGTTTCTTCGCCGGTCTCCCGTCAAGCGCTGCTGCTGCCGCGCAAGGCGGAGAATCTCCGGTTGTGGCTCTGTTCGGCGGGGAGTTCACGTTCCCGGCGGCCCTGGCGGAGCTCTGGGCGCTCCTGGGCGGGCGCGGGGAGGAGGGCGCGAATCGTGCGGGCGCAGCCGCGGAAAGGCGCGAGTGCCGCCAAGGCGGGGCGAGGGGGGAGTGGGGAGTTGAAACGGCGGCACAGGGTTGTGGGTTGGCGGAAGCGCACGGGCAGGTGAGGGGACTGCAAGCGGAGAGCCCGCGGGGACTTGCGCCTTCTCCCAAAATGCGCCCGCTCGAGGGGAGCGGAGCGGGCGGTTGTTCGGCGCGAGCTATGGGGTTAAATCCCCCCTCGAGTGAGATGATGACACGTGGCGCTGCATGCGTGGCAGCGGGAACGTCGGCGGTCGTCAATGCCACATCAGCCGTGGCAGGAACCCCTGCGAGTCATCAAAACCCGGTTGAGGCAGAAGCGACGGCGCTGCTCAATATGGTCTCACAGCTTCTGTCCACCGACCAGAGCGTGACTGTAAACGGGGGTGACTGTACCGAGATGATCAAAGGGGCGGTGGAGAAGTTCAGGCAAGAACTTTCGACGAAGCTTCCTGCGCGAGCTGTAGGTCAGTTGGCGGGCGCGGCGCAAGGGGAGGGGGGAGAGGGCGCGCGGAGGGATGGGGGGAAGTGCGGGGACGCGACTGCGCGGATGGAGCAAGCAACGGCGGAAGGCGGGGGAGCGGAGGGAGGGGGGGAGGGAAGAAGCGCGCCTGTGGTGGCTGAGCAGCAACCGCCTTTCCAGTCCCAACGGCCCAGTGTCGCGCCTGCTCCTGTTCACGTGCCAGATGGCGGGTTCTCACTGGACCATCCCGCTGCGTGTGCCATGTGGGAGCCGTCCAATGCGGAGCCGGCACCAGTCCAGGCGGCACCAGCGGAGCCAGCACCAGCGCAGACGGCATCAGTGCAGGCGGCAGCAGCAATGCAGTTTGAAGGGGCAGCAATGCCGGAGGAGCGGTTAGGAGGAGCAGGGCAGGTGATGGCTCCAGCAGCAGCAGCAAGCGGGCAGGTGCAGCCAGAGACCCCTCTGCAGCTGGAACTGCAGTTCCAGCACCTGCAGCAGCTGCAGTTTCAGCAGCAGCAGCAGCAAGGGTTCCAGCTGCTGCAGCCCCCAGAGGAACAAGCGCAGCAACAACTGCAGCAGCAGCAGCAGCAGCAGCAGCAGCAGCAGTGCAATGCCGAGCAGCTTGGGGGTGCCCACTGGTCTGTTACAGAGGTGCAGCAGCAGCAGCAGCCTCCTCACAATCCTTTCCTACCCTCTCACTCGCCTCCCCCTTATGTTTCCACACACGCCTTCCCTCTCACTACTCATCACCCCTCTCACCCCTTCTCAGCCACCTCCGCCCGTGCTGCCGCTGCTGCTGCTCCTGATGCGATTCCTGCAGCCAGCCCTGGGTTTGAGATGGTTGAAATGGCTCCTCCCACTCCAGCTGGAGCTGCACCTGCACCAGCAGCACCTTCCCCAGTCAACGCCTACCCTCCCCACCCGACAGAATTCCCCCACACCGCATCCGCGCTCTCCCTCGCTCTTGCCCCCGTCCATGCCTCGGCTTCGCACTCTGCCTCGGCGCCCCTCTCCGGGCCTGGATCAAGCTCGGCGTCAGGCTCGGCGGCTGCTTCGGCAAACTGCTTCCCATGTGCTGCGGGACCCCCCTTCGCAACAGATGCTTCCCCAGCTGACGCCCAGCGTGCTGCAGACTTCGTTCTTGATTTCCCACTGCCGGTCCATTTGGATACATGCCTGCATTCCGCCTCAGCCATCACAGAGCTCCCACTCTTCCCAGCGTCAGCAGCAGCCCGAGAAGCAGCCGCAGCGATCTCAAGCCTGAGAAGGGATGGCATTACCACTGCCTGCACGTCGCCACGCGCGCGATCCAGCAACTCTTCGTTTAGTGGGTCTGGTGGGTCGAAGAGAGGGCGGGATGAAGGGAGTACAAGTGTTGGGGATTCGGAGGGAAGTCTGGGGTGTTTGCTGCTGGGGTTGGGGGAATTGAGGGAGTCGGGTGCTCCGGTGAGTAAGGCTGCCAGGTTGATTCGGGAGCAGTGGGCCCGCAAGAGGGGCCTGCCTCCCCTGTCCATTCCTCCACCGCTAGATTTGCCATCGCCTGATGTGTCCCCAGCTGCGGACATGATGCCACATGAGAACACAGATATGACTTTTCATGTGGCTTACTGAACTGACTATATCGTGGTAGATTTTTTTTGGGCTTTTGACTGACCAGTAGCTGTAATAATGAGTAACCTCTATGGGTTTTGTTTCTGGAACTTCGTTCTGAGAAAGGTTGCAATTAGAGTTCAGATTTGTCCAAGGTGTGGTGTTTGGCATATTTGAGCCATGGGTTGTGTATACCGAGTTGTTGGATTTTGTCCAGAAAATCAACCTTGTAGTATCGACCTCATTCCATATTAATTTGACTAGCTCAACAGCGGATTTTGTCAAGCCTGTCAGACAGCTTCCCTCCAAGCATCCCCCCACCAATCGAGACGAGGCAGCAACTCCCCTTCGCGGTTCCACCAGACTGCTGGGTCTGACATACACCACACTTCCGCGATTCGGATCCGTTTCGCGTACCCTAATTTGTTCACTTTCGCTAGCTTTCGCTTCGTTCGGTTGCAGTGACACCTCGAGCCGCTGCGATCCGTCTCTGTCGGAGAGAAGCACCTCACTCATTTTTGCGCTGTCGGCTGAAGCAAACGAACTGAACGGAACAAGACGGAACTGAACTACTGATCAGTTGCCTGCTGCTTCCCGTCACCGTTTCGCGTTCCATCCATCAACCCCCAAACCTTCACCACCTCGGTCCTCAGCCTAAGTACTCCGGCAATCTCTAGGGAACGAGAAAGCTTAGTGAATACTACTCGCTCATTGCTGTCGCTAAGTCCTTAGTCAAGGTAGATTAAGATACGCCGGCTCGTTTTATATCGTTCCCCTCACTAGTGTTTCAAGGCTAGGCTTGACTGCAGTTCCAGTAAAGTTATACCTGGATACGTGATTTGAAGGATTCACTTCCACTAGTGAGTTCGCCTAGACTTGACGAGCTCATTCGACTTGGGAGTCTCGGCCGGAGTTTTCCATCGTGACGCTGCTTGTGGTTACACGTGGTGATGGCGACGCTTCAAAATCATCCGACTCCGCTTGACGAGTACAACAAGGAGATGGGAGAGCTGAAGACGCTCGTAACGAAGGCGTTAGAGAAAAAGGGTGTCTTGGCTCGGCTCAAGGTACGAGACGGCCGAAGTAACGTTTAAGTAGACGAGTTTGTTTTTGAGGCGCCTCAAAAATAGAGAAAAGGGTGTCTTGGCTCGGCTCAAGGTACGAGACGGCCGAAGCAGCGTTTAAGTAGACGAGTTTGTTTTTGAGGCGCCTCAAAAATAGAGAAAAGGGTGTCTTGGCTCGGCTCAAGGTACGAGACGGCCGAAGCAACGTTTAAGTAGACGAGTTTGGAACCAGGACATTAGATTCTTAGCTATGATCATCGTAGCCATGGAATGGCTTCCGTGTTTACACTACAAGTGGAAAATTGCTCCGAGACTCATGGTTCTGATCAGAAAAGCGTCGGATAGAGACGTCAGGCTGTAATTATCCTAATCTCGGGACTCACTCTACTGTGGCTGGTGATTCATCGTCTACCAAGGCTCGTATTTCACTGTCGCAGGCGGAGCTGCGAGCGAGCATCTTCGAGGTGATCGACGACAAGGACAAGACGGCGACTGGCGACGAGCAGCGCGCCGTGCGAGGCGGATGCAGCGAGCAGGCCAAGAACCTGCACGACTCTAAGACGGGTGAGCTGACGCGAAGTAGTCGTGTTTTGGGACGTCTCACAACGTGCGATGTGGATGCAGCAAGCAGGCCAAGAGTCTGCACGACTCTAAGACAGGTGAGGTGACGGGAACCTGCGCGGCTCTCGGACGGGTGAGCTGACGGGAGAGCAGAGGCTGAGTTTGGTTCTAACATAGAAGCCGATTGGTCGCTCGTTGATACGCATGAGTCCACTCGTTGTGAAATGGCAGTTCCGTTATAACGCATGTTCCGTTATAACGCATGCTCCATGGCTGCTGTGCACCGTCGTCGCAGGTCACCTGCTCACGGCGCTACTGTGCGAATACCTGGAGTGGGGGGAGATGGACCACACGCTCAAAGTGTACCTCTCGGAGTGTAACCTGGTACGTACGATCGCTATCTTGGGGTCTAGCCTGATACATTCGATCGCTCAAAGTGTACCTCTCGGAGTGTAACCTGGTACGTACGGTCGCTTCCTTGGGGTATAGTCTGGTATGTTCGGTCGCTCAAAGTGTACCTCTCGGAATGCAACTAGGTACTGAGGTCAGCAGTAGCGCGTACGGTCAACAACCGCGCTTTATACAGTCACTGCCAGGGTGCGGTCAGTAGCCGTGTTATGTGCAGTGGATACCCGCGTTACATCTGCCTCTAGGTAGTCAGTGGTGTTCGTTTCGTACTACGACAAGTTGACATGGAGATACAAGCCACTTCAGTGCACAGAAATCACTCTTCAGTGACCCTCTTCCCTCCGATCCTCCTCCTCCTCCTCCTCCTCCTCCTCCTCCTCCTCCTCCTCCTCCTCCTCCTCCTCCTCCTCCTCCTCCTCCTCCTCCTCCTCCTCCTCCTCCTCCTCCTCCTCCTCCTCCTCCTCCTCCTCCTCCTCCTCCTCCTCCTCCTCCTCCTCCTGCTGCTGCTGCTGCTGCTGCTGCTGCTGCTGCTGCTGCTGCTGCTGCTGCTGCTGCTGCTGCTGCTGCTGCTGCTGCTGCTGTTGTCGCTTGTTGTGCCCAGCCTCCAGTCTATCCCCGCAGACCGAAGCTAGAGGACGAGCTCGGCCTGCCGTCGTCCAATGCCATCATGACACCTGGCGGCGCCACAAGGCCGCTCCTGCACGAGCTGATCGACGCCTACTTCACGCTCAAGGTGCGTCCAGGACGGATCGGGACTAGTCGCGTCTGAGCCTGAGCGCGAGGGAGGATGGAAGGTCAAGATTCGCTTACGCCTATGCACAAGGGTCGAGGGTGCCTATTCTCGCATTCATTCGCACAAATCGTACTTGTTACCATCCAGAAGCTGTACAACGACCTTGGGGAATGCTCTCAAGCGTGGTGTGCATCCGTGTGTGCGCATATGAACATGTGCAAATGTGTGTGCTTTGCGCTTGTGTGTGCGTGTGTATGTGTTGTGTGTGTGTGTGTGTGTGTGTGTGTGTGTGTGTGTGTGTGTGTGTGTGTGTGTGTGTGTGTGTGTGTGGACACCTCAGGCGCAGGTCAAGTCAGGCGCCACAGGCACATCATCATCAGGGGGAGGTCTGCTGTCGCGCGCCACTGCTCGCAGCTCCAGCCCCTCAGGTAGGTCCCTCTCACACATGCCATTTCATGATGCGCCAAGCATGATACATGACACCATGCCATATTCATGGTCATCGGCAGCTCCCCCCCTCCGTCCGTCCTCCCGCTTCCTCCGCTGATCTCCTGGCTACCCTCCCTCTGCTCCTCTGGCCCCCTCCAGTGCTCCCCTTTCTCCCCTCTCACCAGCCGGCCAAAGGACCCCTCGCAGCACTTCTCCTCTCACCCGTGGCTTCAGCAGTGCGTTCGGCCTTTGACACCTCTCAAAGAGCCCCTTACACTTTCCCCTCTGAGATCCCCTCCCTCTCATCTCTCCCCACCAGCCGGCCAGAGGCCCCCCAGGAGCACCTCCCCGCTCACCCGTGGCTTCAACAGTGCGTTCGGCGTTTCAAACCTCTGAAAGAACCCCTTACACTTTCCCCCCTGTGCTCCCCTCCAACGCCTCTCTCCCCTCCAGCCGGCCAGAGGTCCCCCAGGAGCACCTCCCCGCTCACCCGTGGCTTCAGCAGTGCGTTCGGCCGCAGCAGCAGCGGCGGGGGCGAACGCGAGCGGTCGTCATCAGGCAGCCGGCGCAGCAGCAGCGGGGGCCGGGCAGCGGTGCCAGAGCCTGCTTCGAGAGGGGAGAGCGACACAGAGAGAGGCGGTGGGGGCGCGTTCTCGAAGCTCCCTATCTCTTTGTTACGCGACATTCCGTCGTCTAGGGATAGATATTAGCTTTTGGGGGATGGGAACCTGGGTTAGGGTGGCTCGTGTGCTTTTGAAGGCACTAAAATGGGTCAGGGTTGTCGATATGGCAGAGGGCTTTCCGTTACGGATGGTGTAGGAACGATGCGGCTTTTATATGCAGACTCAGCAGTCGTTGGCTTGGAGCACGTGGGCCAGGAGCAGCAGTCAGGGTGGGGAAGTAGTGTCAGGTCTTGCAGGGGGTAGAAAAAAAGCTGGGTCCTCCTAACGTAAGGTGCTGCAAGAGTGGTCCTGTGGAGTAGAGGCTCAGCAAGATGAGCCTGTTGCAAGAAAGAAAGGATCTCTAAAATAAGTTTTACTGTTTATACTGAAGCTCTCTTCATATTGAAGGCTTCACTTAGCAGGGGTAGCATGTACAGTTACAGTATTGGCTTTAATTGAACAAGCTCATACCACGCTCAGGCGGGAGGAAGCAATCGGAATTAGACTCGTGCAGTACAGAGCAGTGCAAGTGTCAAGATACACAATCCAGTGCGGTTCTGTTCGGCAATGCACATATCTGACCCTGACTCTGATGCTATATCATAAAACGCCATATTGAGGAGTAAATTGGCCAGAAGCCTGCATTTATATACCCCTAAAGTCAAAACTTGGGCAGTCCTCATGCCTACATGAAACATTTCATCCTGAAGCATTTTCTTACATCGCACTCTTTTGCAGGTGCACACATTGTCTCAAGCAACATCAGAGTCGCTCTGAGCATTCACCAGCCGCAGAATCAGCTCCTGCTGCAGCAGCAGCTGCCGGTGCAGTGCGCTCTCCTGGTCGATCGCCCGCATATCCCACTCCGCCACCTGGCGGTGCAACCTCCTTACTGCCCGCCGCTGCAGCTGCACCTCACCCTTCAACTCCTCTAGCCCTTCTGCTGTCATCGCAGCGCTTCTAGAAACCCTAGCAAGGGTTTCTTTCAGCTTGCGCGTTTCCTCCTCCTGCCGCTGCTCCTCCTCCCTGCTTGGTGCTGCCGGCGCTGCCATCCCGTCTAGCACCTCCCCAAACTGGGCCAGGACCACGTCAGCTATGGGCCGAGCCTCGATGGTTGGCTCGGGGTTGGGCTGACGGGGGAAGGGAGGGGGGGATGGTGGGGAAAAGAGAGTGTGGAGGAGGCAGTGGGGAGGAGACAGTGGCATGAGAAAGAGGACCTGGTTGGTTACCATTCCAATAAGGTTACCACAACTTGGTGGGGATTCTCAAGCGACCATTCATGGTGGAATGAGCTCAGTTTTCGGCTCACCTGGCATCTCAGCCTGCCAAGTGACCCCCCTGGGCGAATGAGTCACTCCCAGCGGGCTTGCTGGCGGCGCAGCGCTGGATCACAGCAAGGAGGGCGTCGGCGTTCAAGCACCGCTTGACCACTTCCCACCCGCAGCGCCGCTTGACCACTTCCCACCCGCAGCACCGCTTGATCACTTCCCACCTGCAGCACCGCTTGACCACTTCCCACCCGCAGCACCGCTTGTGCTCCTTAACTCAAACTAACCTTGCCTGCCCTGTCATCCCAAGGCTGATTCACCCCAAGGCCGATTCACCCCAAGGCCGATTCACCCCAAGGCCGATTCACCCTAAGGCCGATTCACCCCAAAGCTGATTCACCCCCACCAGCCCCCCTCACCACCGTGCCTCCCACCTGTCGTCTCAGCAGGAAGCCCCCTCGAGTGGAGTCACTCCCAGCGGGCTTGCTGGCGGTGCAGCGCTCGATGACGGCGATGAGGGAGTCTGCATTCAGGCACCGCTTGCCCACCCGCAGCACCTTGCGGGGGCGCGGCTTGGGCCGCCTGACCCCGCCCCCGCAGCACCGGTTGACCCGCCTGAAGCTGCCCTTGAGGGCGGCTACTGACTTGGCCACAATGGAGTCCTCCAGCTGCGGTTGGGGTGGGGTCAGCAGAGGGAGGGAGGGAGGGAGGGAGGGAAATTGCACCGGTTGACCTGCTTGAAGCTGCCCTTGAGGGCGGCCACTGACTTGGCCACTATGGAGTCCTCCAGCTGCGGTTGGGGTGGGTGGCAGGTGGGTGGGAAACAGGGGAGGAGGGAGGTTAGAGAAGGCAAGAAGATCCACTAGCGGAGCTCCCTTACGCCGTAGCCCGCTGATACTTGCGTGACTGTACTCACTGTGCACGCCTAGACTGTACTCGGGTTCTAGCAATGCAAGACCGCTTGAGAGAGGGAGGAGAGGCCGGCTGGCACTGACCTGCTGCCAGTTGAGAATTCATGGGGTCACAATGAGCTCACTTAAGAGAGAACTTCCTGCAACCAGCACCAATGACGCATCTGAGAGAACTGTCCCACTCACCCTCACATTATCGTCTTCTGCCCCCATCGCAAGCAGGTGGCACGGCAGCCGGCATGCGGTGACCACTATATGCTCAACTGCTACACAGAACACGCATCACACTGTTTTACACGGCACCACACTGCATCACACTGCAGCACGCTGCACCATCTTACCGTCACATTGTCGTCTTCAGCCCCCATGGCAAGCAGGTGGCGCTGCAGCCTCCCCGGCTTCCAGTAGTCCGTTGACAGCCGCAGCACCACGTTCCGAAGCACGTACCACATGTCGACTGGGAATGCTGGCGACTCCTCCGTGGATTTCTGAAAGAGAGGGAGGGGATGGGGAGGCCCTAAGGGATGAGCAAAGGGAGGGGGCTCGTTGGTGGCAGCAGCACATTGTGCTGCAGGACCGTGTCAACCACAATGGCAATGAGCACATTGAGCATCACACACACCACGGCGGTGATGCATGCGATCCAGAAGGCTACTTTTGAGGCGCCTCAAAAGCACACACCACGGCGGTGATGTATGTGATCCCGAAGGTGATGTGAGGAGCCTGAAAACACATAACCTTAGGTTTGGTGCACCTCAAGCAGCGTACCCTGACTTGTAAGAAGGCGTCGACGACGATGGCAATGAGCACGTTCAGCATGACGAAGACCATGACGGTGATGTCTGCGATCCAGAAGGTGATGGCGGCTGTGAGGTTCCAGTCAAGTCAAGGCACGCACCATATGTCCCTGACAGCACGTACTTACCCTGTGATCCTACATCCTTCAAAACACTTACCCTGACTTCGAGGAAAGCGTCGACCACAATAGCTATCAGCACATTCAGCATGACGAAGACCATGACGGTGATGTAAGCGATCCAGAAGATGATCGCTGCTGTGAGGTTCCACCCCTCGAGCTGGATGAAGAAGTAGCCCGTGCTGTTGTCGTTGATGAGGATGAGGAAGCACGACACCATCGACATAGCGACCGTGCTGAACTGTGGTTGCAGGAGTGGAGTGAAGGGGGAATGAATGGGCCCGCATAGGAGGGACAGGGAAGGATGAAGCAGTAGCCAGTGCTGTTGTGGTTGATGAGGATCAGGAAGCACGACACCATCGACATAGCGACCGTGCTGAACTGCAAAGAGGAAAGGGGAGAAAGGGGGAATGGGGTAAAGGGGTAAAGGGGGAAAGGGGGAAAGGGGGAAAGGGGAGAAAGGGGAAAGGGGGAAAGGGGGAAATGGGAGAAAGGGCGAAAAGGGGAAAGGGGAGAAAGGGGGAAAGGGGGAAAGGGGGGAAAGGGGGAAAGGGGAGAAGGGGAGAAAGGGGGAAAGGTGGAAATGGGGAACGGGGGAAAGGGGGAAAGGGGGAAAGGGGAGAAAGGGAGAAAGGGAGAAAGGGAGAGGGGGAGGAAGGGGGAAAGGGGGGGAAGGGGAGGAAGAGGGAAAGGGGGATAAGACAAGCACACACTTGGGTGTGGGGTTCCTTCCACCCCTCGGGCTGGATGTAGTAGTAGCCGGTGCTGATGTCCTTGATGGGGATCAGGGCGCACGAAACCATCCACATCGCCACCGTGCTGAACTGTTAGTCAGGGGAGAGGGGGGGGAGGGGTGGTGGTGGATGGTGGTGGTGTGGTGGTGTGGTGGTGCGGTGGTGCGGTGGTGTGGTGGTGTGGTGGTGCGGTGGTGCGGTGGTGTGGTGGTGTGATGGTGTGGTGTGTGGTGTGTGGTGGTGTGGTGGTGTGGTGGTGTGGTGGTGTGGTGGTGTGGTGTGTGGTCGTGTGGTCGTGTGGTGTGTGGTGGTGTGGTGTGTGGTGGTGTGGTGGTGTGGTGGTGTGGTGGTGTGGTGGTGTGGTGGTGTGGTGGTGTGGTGTGTGGTGGTGTGGTGGTGTGGTGGTGTGGTGGTGTGGTGGTGTGGTGGTGTGGTGGTGGTGGTGGTGTGTGGTGTGTGGTGTGTGGTGTGTGGTGGTGTGGTGTGTGGTGGTGTGGTGTGTGGTGTGTGGTGGTGTGGTGGTGTGGTGGTGTGGTGTGTGGTGGTGTGGTGGTGTGGTGGTGTGGTGGTGTGGTGGTGTGGTGGTGTGGTGGTGTGGTGGTGTGGGGTGTGGTGGTGTGGTGGTGTGGTGGTGTGGTGGTGTGGTGTGTGGTGGTGTGGTGGTGTGGTGGTGTGGTGGTGTGGTGGTGTGGTGTGGTGGTGTGGTGGTGTGGTGGTGTGGTGGTGTGGTGGTGTGGTGTGTGGTGTGTGGTGTGTGGTGGTGTGGTGTGTGGTGTGTGGTGGTGTGGTGGTGTGGTGGTGTGGTGTGTGGTGGTGTGGTGTGTGGTGTGTGGTGGTGTGGTGGTGTGGTGGTGTGGTGTGTGGTGGTGCGGTGTGTGGTGGTGTGGTGGTGTGGTGGTGTGGGGTGTGGTGGTGTGGTGGTGTGGTGGTGTGGTGTGTGGTGTGTGGTGGTGTGGTGGTGTGGTGGTGTGGTGTGTGGTGGTGCGGTGGTGTGGTGGTGTGGTGTGTGGTGGTGTGGTGTGTGGTGGAGAGAGCTGCGACCATGAATGGGGTGGTTGTAGACAGACACGTGGGGTACCAGGGATGACGTAGTAGCACCATACCGGCTCGAGCATACCTGTTCAAGTGTGCAGCCAAACACCACGTAGGCATACAGCAAGTGGCTGCCGAACATGATGGACCAAAGCGGGAAGAAGTGCATGAGTGCGGGGGAGGTTGCATACCTGCATGCCTGTTGCTACATAATGCAGTCTGTACCTGCTCGAGAGTGCGTCCCAACACCACGTAAGCATAGAGCAAGAACCCCACAAACATGATCGCCCAGAGAAGAAAGAAGTGCACGAGGCCGAGGGCGGGGACCGCAGGGCCTGGCTGGCATGGCACCGCTTGCTAGAATACCTGTTTTGAGGCGCCTCAAAACCGCGGATAAAGAGACGACTTTTGAGGCGCCTCAAAAGCCTGGCTAGCATGGCACCGCTTGCTAGAATACCTGTTCCAAGGTGCGGCCAAACACCACGTAGGCGTATAAGGAGAAGCCGATGAACATGATGGCCCAGAGCAGGAAGAAGTGCACGAGGGCGGGGAATGCGGCCGCCATGGTGCGAGTGAGGATGGCGATGCGCGGCTGAAAGTCCATCAGCTTGAGCAGGCGCAGCAGGAAGAGGAAGACGCTGGGAGGAGGGAGGGGTGAAAGGGTGGGGGATCGAAGGTGCGGGGATGGGAGAGCAAGGGCAAGGCAGCAGCCATGATGCGATGAGGATGGTGATGGGGGGATGGTGGTGATGGGGGATGGTGGTGATGGGGGATGGTGGTGATGGGGATGGTGGTGATGGGGATGGGCGGGGAAGGACAGGCAAAACGTCAGAGGATGGCAATGCGAAGCCGGACGAGGAAAGTGCTGGAAAGGGGGAAGGAGAGTCGCAGAAAGGGAGGGTAAGATAGGCGACTTTGAGTCGCAGAAACATGCGCAGGATCGATGGAGATCTCTTGTTTCCCTTGCAGCGGCACTCACTTGATCCCTTGCAGCGGCACTCACTTGATCCCTTGCAGCGGCACTCACTTGATCCCTTGCAATGAGACTAGAATGGAGCGCCACTGCACCAAGTTACGCACCGAGCTGTACACCGCCTGCGCCTCGTCGTACCCCACCGGGGGGTAATGCAGCTGCAAGAAGGAGATGGAAGACGAGAGAGAGACAGAGTCGAGGGGTCGGGGGGAGGGGAGGAAGCGAAAGCAGTTGCAACTGTTAGAATATTCCCCTATTCTATATTAGCCTACATCGTTTATAAGGCTTAGGTCATTGTAAGCAACCTATCTCTACTAGGGTGTAGTAACCCTAGGTTGGGGGTTGGCTTCCCACCTTGTTTGGGTTCCAACCTTGGCCATTATTGGCCCCCCCAATGGGCTTGACCTCCCAATTATTGGAGACCCCAATAATCCTACCAAGATTATTGGACCCTCCAATAATCTTGGTTGGGATCATTGGACCCCCCAATAATTCCCAACTCCATTATTGGTGGGGACCAATAATCTTGGCCAAGGTCCCAACCAACCCCCCCCCCTTTCTTACCCTCACACCTATGTATACCCTCATTTCTTCAATAACATCATCAACTTCTCTTCTCACATGGTATTCAGAGCCTATGGCTCACACCACCTCCTAGAGCGATCCTGAAAGCGTGTTCCTTCCCACGCCCTCCCTCCGCGCACTCTGCGCCTTGCTCCCGCGCATTCCGCGCTGCCCCCCCCTAGCGCACCCCGTGCCCTCTCCGCGCGCATTTCCGCGCCGCTGCCGCATTTCGCGGCTCTCCCGTCGTCGCTCGTCGCGACCGTTCATCTCCGCACTTCGCGGCTCTCCCGTCGCCGGCCGTTGCGACCGTTTGTCGCCGCATTTCGCGGCTCTCCCGTTGTCGCTCGTCGCGACCGTTCGTCGCTGCATTTCGCGGCTCTCCCGTCGCCGCATTTCGCAGCTCTCCCGTCGCCGCATTTCGCGGCTCTCCCGTCGTCGCATTTCGTGGCTCTCTCATCGCCGCTTGTCGCGACCGCTCGTCGCGGCACTTCGCGGCCCTCCCGTCGCCGCACTTCGCGGCCCTCCCGTCGCCGCACTTCGCGGCCCTCTCGTCGCCGCATTTATCGGCCTTTCCGTCACTCCATTTCGCGGTTGCTCGTCGCCGCATTTCGCGACCCTCCCGTCGTCACCGCTCGTCGCGCGCAGCACGCACTAGCACGCGACGCAATCTCGCCATCCGTGCCGCTCGACGAACCTTTTCTCCTTCCTCTCTCCTCCTCCCCCTCCCCCCACGTCGCTGGAAGCCGGTCCCTGGTCGCTGGTAGCTGGCTGCAGGTAGCTGATTCCCACCCGCCATGGCAACGGACTCGCTCGCGGTTGACATCAGCACCATCGATGCACTTGAACTCGCCGATGGCGTGGTTCCTATCAATTGGAACTCGTTCGCGCAAAGCATCACCACAGTTCTCGGCTCCACCATCATCAACGACTTCTGCCTCCTCGACATCCTCGAGGACACTGAGGCAGGAAAGCCCCCCTCCCCCCCTGCCAAGCTTGGCCCCCGCCCTCCCCCCCACCCCTGATCCCCCCTCAGGACCTGAGCCCATCAAGCCCACTCACCCCGAGTACAACACTGATCCTGACCGCTGGGCTCGCCTCCGCACTAAGTACGACAAAGACTTCGCCGGCTACACTCTTCTCCAACACACCTACTCCGAGAAGCAGAACGCCCACGACGAGGCCAAAGCACTCATCTCCAAGTATGACGAGGACGTTGCTAAGCATGCCGCAGACTCTCGTGAGTTTCGCACTCGCTATGCTGCTTGGGTTCAAGCTGACCGCAAATGCCTCTCCATCCTCATTGCTTGCGTCCCTTCCTCCCTTAAACGCGAGATCAATCCCTCCTCCTCTGCCTCTTTCTGGAAGGAGCTTTGTGCCACCTATGACCTGCAGGACACAAACTCCCTCCTCGCACTCCATCGTGCATTCCTCGAGATCACACTCGATAGCTGCCCCAACACGCTTGCTTTCACCCGGCGCCTCACCTCCACTGCCAGCCGCCTCGCTACTCGCGGCTCAGCTCTTCCCGATTCCCTCCTTGTGTGCTGCCTCCTCGACGGCCTCTCGCCGATGTTTGACACGCGCAAGGTGGCCTTCGATGAAGTCCATGCCCGCTACCCGCCTGACTCCACCGAGGTCGTCACGTGGATCCTAAAGACTGAGGCGGAACTCCTCCACCAGTCTCCCCCAACCGTGAATGCCGTACAGGCACGTGGTGGACGTGCTGGCGGACGTGGTGGCAGCACGGCGGGGCGCTCTGGAGGAGGTCGCGGGGGCGGACGCAGTGGTGGACGAGGCGGTGGCAGCGGCCGAGGCACCGGTAACTACCCTCCATGTCAGTATCTCATTCGTTACGGCACCAACAAAGGTCAGCGCTGCCTCCAAACTACTCATCCCACAACCACCTGCTTCAAGGCACTTACGGATGAATGGTTTGACCGCGGGAACACTGGTATCCCACCTCGCTGGTCGTCCATGACTCCGCCCCCCACTGCTCTTGATGTTCGCACTTCTCCCGCCTATCAGCTGCCCTCCCTTGGCCAGATCCTGGCACATCACATGTCCCCCCAAGTCCTCCGGCAGGTTCAATCCCTTCTCCCTCCGCAGCAGCAGCAGCAGTACACCCAGCAGCAGCAGCAGTACCCCCAGCAGCAACAGCCGTCTCAGCAGCAGTACCAGCAGCAGTACCAACAGCAGTACCAGCAGCAGCAGCAGCAACAGCCGCAACAGCAGCAGCAGCAGCCGACTCCTCCTCCCCCATCTCAGCAATCCTCCGCTTCGAGTGCTATACCGGCCACAACTGCCCAGACTCCCTCTGGTCCTCCCGGTTTCACTCCCTTCCCCTCTGCTGGTTTCTTAGGTCATGTTACTCAGCCCGATCCCACTATTCTGTATCCCGAATCTATTAATGAAGCTTCTTTCCAGTATTCCCGGACCCACTCCTCCCCTCCCCTTGAGTTCGTAATTGACAGTGGAGCAAGCGCCACGGTCCTCCGTGACGCCGGTCATCTTGCTCCCCTCACCTCCCCCTCCACCATCCTTGGGGCAGATTCCAGTTTCTCCATCACCACCACTCACACCTCCACCCTCCCCTGTCCCCTTTTTCCCTCTGGCTCCGTCACAGGTTTTCACATCCCCTCACTTCGTACTAACCTTGTCTCCCAAGGTGCCCTCCAACGTGCCGGGGTGACTACGATCTACCCCGGCCACGCTTCCCACTGTGACTTGTATCACTCCACCTCTGGTCGATTCATCACCCGTGTCCCCTTATGTCCTACCTCTTGTATGTACACCCTTCGCACTCCTCGTCCCGCCCTGTGTCAGGCTGCCTCTCTTACCCCCTCCGGTCCCCCTACACTTTTTCCTCTTCAACTTCTCTCCTCCAGCACCCCCCCCATCCCAATGCCACTGCCGGGATCTCTCCCATCCCGCCCTACTCCTCCACCACCGCCTTGGGCATCCCAATTTTGCCACCCTCCAACGCACTGTTGCCACTGGCCTTCTCAAAGGCCTTCCACTCACCGTTCCCCCTCTCCCTCCCTCTCCTGCCCCTCCCTGCACCATTTGTGTTCAGGCTAAGCTGAAACAACTCCCTCATAAAAGCCACCCCTCATATGCCCCTGAGCTCCTGGACATTGTCCATATGGATCTCTGGGGACCCAACCCCTCCCCTACCCGCCAGGGTCACCGCTACCTTCTTGTCCTCGTCGACGATCACTCCCGGTATACCTCGGTCTCTCTCCTTCGAACGAAGGCCGAGGCTCCGGCTGCGATCATCGCTTGGGCAGAGCAGGCCCGTACACACTTTAAACGCCCCGTTCGTCGCTTCCACTCCGATGGAGGCGGCGAATTCCTAAACCAGCAGTTTTCCTCATACTGCATTTCCCATGGCATTCGCCATACCCATACCCTTCCGCACTCCCCAGAGCAGAATGGTCTGGCCGAGGCTCGGATTCGAGAGATCACTAAAACTGCTCGGTGTCTCCTAGTCCATGCCTCGTGCCCGCCCTCTCTTTGGGGCTATGCCCTCCTCCACGCGACCCTCCTAACTAACCTCTACCCCCACCCCCTCCGTCCTTCCACTACCCCTACCGAGCTTTGGACGTCCTCCAAGCCCGATATTTCTCCCCTTCGCGTCTGGGGCTCAAAGGCTCATGTCCTCATACACCCCGCCGACCGCTCTCGCACAGCAGGGAAGCTTGCCTCCAAGGCCCTTCCCTGCATCTTCCTTGGGCACAACCCTTCTTCCCCTGATTACCTTTTCCTCCATCCCCCCTCAGGTCGTCTCATACGTAGTCGGGACGTCGTCTTCGACGAATCCACCCCGTACTACTCTTCCCCCCCCACAAGTGACCCTCTTACTGTCACCCCTCGCCCTCTCACTGTGTCCGACACGATCTCCCTGCCTCTTCTCCCCCCTCCCCCCCTTGTCCCCCCACCTCCCCCTCCCCCACTTCCCCTGTCCTCTGGTCAATCTGACGACGCCTCTGATTTGGTAATCCCCCCCTCTCCCTCCCCCTCCGCTTCCGCCCCTCCTCCTGCCCCTACTCCCGCTTCCACCTCCGCCTCTGATCCCGCCCCAGCCGCCACCTATCCTGCCCCTCCTGCCCCTGGCCCCGCTCCTGCCCCCCCCTCCTGCCCCCGCTCCTGCCCCCGCTCCTGCCCAGGATCAACCTCCTCTTGTTCTTCGACATCGCCCGCATACACGGTGCATGGATCCCATTTTTGGTCCTCCCATCCCTGCCCCCACCTCCCGACCTCAGTCCCCTCACCCTCCCTCCATCTAGATACCATCTGACAGCACCCCCTCCGCCCCTCCTTCTGCAGCACCACCCCCGCCGTGCAGCAGCGCAGCAGTCCACCTGTACAACAGCCCTCCAACTCCGTCATGCAACAACGCAACCATCCCGCCGTGCAGCAGTGCACCAGTCCAGCATTGCAACAGCAACGTGCAGCCGTGTGGCCGAGTCGCCATCTCGCCACCACCCCTACCTCCGCCTCTCTCTCCTCTCCTTATTGAGGACTCCCATGGCGAGTTCCTCCGCCTCCACCTTTTTTCCTCCTCCTGCGCCGTCGCCTTCAACGTCGCCGAGGCGCCAGTCTTGGTCTTCGAAGGCGCGCCCATCATCTTCGAGCTCGGAGACTATGATGAAGCCATGACCTGCCCTGACAGTCCTCATTGGGGAAAGGCCGTCCTCAAGGAGAACGAAGCCTTCGTACGCAATGGCACCTTTGTCGACGTCCCTCGCCCCCCCAACACCAACGTGGTCAAGGGCAAGTGGGTCTTTCGTGTGAAGCTCCTTCCCGGCGATGACCCAATCTACAAAGCTCGTTACTGCGCTAAAGGTTTTACGCAGCGGTATGGTCACGACTTCTTCGAGACATACTCACCGACCGCGACACCGCCAGTTGTGCGCGTCTTCCTCGACTTTGTCGATCGACGTGGCATGATCCTTCACTCCATGGATGTCACTATGGCATTCCTGCAAGGCGAGCTTCATGAACGCATCTTCATGGAGCGCCCCAAGGGCTGGCATCTCCCCTTTGACCCTAATACTGTCTGGGAGCTCCGCCGCCCTGTGTACGGCCTCAAGCAGGCTCCTCGGGAGTGGCACGCCAAGCTCTCCAGCACCCTTCGAGACCTTGGTTTTCGCCCCTCCGCGGCTGCCATCAGCCTCTTCCTCCGCACCTCTCCCTCCCCCTTCTACATTCTCGTCTATGTCGACGATATGTTACTCGCCGCCGACAATGACGCTGAAATGCAGCAAGTCAAGGACGAGCTTCAGAGGCGCCTTGCCTGCAAGGACCTGGGAGAAGTCCGCAACTACCTCGGCATGGAGATCACCCGTGACCGCGCGGCGAAAACCATCTCTCTCTCTCAAGCCTTCTACGTCCAAAAGGTCCTTGAGCGGTTCGAGATGGCCACAGCCAAACCCATCTCCACGCCGCTTCCCGTCGGACACCAGCTCTCCCCCGCCGCCACCCCCTCCTCCTCCACTCAACCATACGCCGAGCTCGTTGGGTCCTTGATGTACGCAATGATGTGCACACGTCCTGACCTCGCCTACCCCATCAGCGTCCTGGCACGCTTTGTCGGTGCTGGCAAGCACACTCTCGAGCATTGGCAGACGGCCAAGCGTGTTCTACGCTACCTACGAGGCACCAAGGACTATGTCCTCACCCTTGGAGGACCCTCCCTTCCTGCGCTCATTGGCTACAGTGACTCGTCCTGGGCCGACTCCCAACCTGACCGCCGCAGTTCTCAAGGGTATGGCTTCTCCCTTGGCAGCGGTCTCATCTCATGGCGCTCCACCCGCTCGTCCTCCATAGCTCTCTCCTCCTGCGAAGCCGAACTTTACGCCGTCACCATGGCGGCCCAGGAGGCACGGTGGCTTAGCTACCTCCTCGCTGAGCTGGATGCCCCCCAGCCCTGTCCCATCATTTGGTGCGACAATGCCAGCACCATTCACCTTACCAAGGAAGCCGTCTTCCACGGCCGCTCCAAGCACATCGAGTTGCGCCACTACTTCGTCCGCGAGCTTGTCCAGGCCGGGCACCTGGCCGTCCGCAAGATTGACTCCTCCGCCAACCTTGCAGATATTTTCACCAAAGCTCTCTCTCGGCCCGCTCATGCTACTCTTCTCCGGCTAACTGGCCTCGCTCCTCCCTCCTCTCGCGGGAGCACCTAATTCAGGGGTTGCTCTTTCAAGCGCCTCCGCCTTCTAGCCCTATGTAGGCTAAGGGGTTGTGTTAGAATATTCCCCTATTCTATATTAGCCTACATCGTTTATAAGGCTTAGGTCATTGTAAGCAACCTATCTCTATTAGGGTGTAGTAACCCTAGGTTGGGGGTTGGCTTCCCACCTTGTTTGGGTTCCAACCTTGGCCATTATTGGCCCCCCCAATGGGCTTGACCTCCCAATTATTGGAGACCCCAATAATCCTACCAAGATTATTGGACCCTCCAATAATCTTGGTTGGGATCATTGGACCCCCCAATAATTCCCAACTCCATTATTGGTGGGGACCAATAATCTTGGCCAAGGTCCCAACCAACCCCCCCCCCCTTCTTACCCTCACACCTATGTATACCCTCATTTCTTCAATAACATCATCAACTTCTCTTCTCACAGCAACTGTTAGATTGCTACAGCCTACAGCCACGCACATGCATACGTAGGTGACTTTTGAGTCGACTCAAAAGTCACATGCATACGTAGGTGAAGGAATGAACTCTGCACTAAAGCACGTGGAAATTTTGAGTCGACTCAAAATACACTAAAGCACGTGGAAATCTGACTTGCGTACATCACTGCCACATGTGCGAGAGGGCTTACCTGCCAGACGAACGGGGAATCGCCGGTTACGTAGATGTTGTAACGCGGCTGCACTTGGAAGGAGCCCGCCAGCTGCACTGATATGATGAACCTGACGGGTGGAATGAGGTGGAGGACGGTCAAGGGGGACAGGTTGGACCAAGATGATGGGAAGAGGAACAAGGGGAGAGAGGGCTCAGAGGGGATGGGGCGAGATGGGAAGGGGTGAGATGGGATGGGGCGAGATGGGATGGGGTGAGATGGGAAGGGGTGAGATGGGATGGGGCGAGTTGGGATGGGGTGAGATGGGATGGGGTGAGATGGGATGGGGTGGGATGAGATGGGAAGGGGTGGGATGAGATGGGAGGGGGTGAAAAACAAGCCCATATTGCAACTGACCGCATGATGATGCGCTGCTCACCACATGATGATGCGCTACTCACCACATGATGATGCGCTGCTCACCACATGATGATGCCTATGAATTGGATGGTGAGCGAGAGCACATCCAGCCAGTTCCACAGCGTGCGAAAGTACGATGTGATCTGAGGGGCAGAGGGGGGAAGGAAAGCACGAGGCGATCAGAGGGGGGTCAATGCGTGATGCGCTTCATGCCATGCAGTGCCATCCCATGTGGCATGCTATCCCATGTGGCATGCTGCAGGGTCAATGAGGCTGGGAAAGGAAGGAGACCCCTCAAGGCTATTGACAAAAAGGCGCTCAAGGTGAAGAAAGGGAAGGGCAGAAAGCAAGAGAAGAGCACAACAGGTGCCGCAAAACCCCAACCCGAAAGACAAGCACCACTCACCCTCCCAGTCTCAAGCCAGCACTGGAAGGCCTTGACGAGCTCCTAGATGAGGTTCCTCGCCAGCACATGCCTTGGCACGCCACGGTCAGCTGCTCCCACTCAGTGCTGCACAGCCCGAACCAGCTTTGAGGCTCCTTAAAACTAAATGTGAAGAGCGGCTTGGCCACCACTCACCCTGCCCGTCTCGAGCCAGCACTGGAAGGCCTCGACGAGCTCCTCAATGAGGTTCCACACCACGGCGCACACGTACAGCAGCGTCACCGTCAGCCGCGCCCAGTCGTCCCTGCACAGCCTTCACTAATACTGCACAAAGGCAACCAAAGGGCAGCCACCACTCACCCTGCCCGTCTCGAGCCAGCACTGGAAGGCCTCGACGAGCTCCTCAATAAGGTTCCACACCACGGCGCACACGTACAGCAGCGTCACTGTCAGCCGCGCCCAGTCCGCCGCAGACGAGTACAGCTCCACATCCACGGGGTCCACGTTGTACGTCACCGCGATCTTGCCCCCGATCTGATGGGGGGGGGAATAGTGGGGAACGAGCAGGGAGACAGTGGGGAGAGAGTGGGGAGAGAGTGGGGAGAGAGTGGGGAGAGAGTGGGGAGAGGGTGGGGAGAGGGTGGGGAGAGAGTGGGGAGAGAGTGGGGAGAGAGTGGGGAGAGAGTGGGGAGAGAGTGGGGAGAGAGTGGGGAGAGAGTGGGGAGAGAGTGGGGAGAGAGTGGGGAGAGAGTGGGGAGAGAGTGGGGAGAGAGTGGGGAGAGAGTGGGGAGAGAGTGGGGAGAGAGTGGGGAGAGAGTGGGGAGAGAGTGGGGAGAGAGTGGGGAGAGAGTGGGGAGAGAGTGGGGAGAGGGTGGGGAGAGGGTGGGGAGAGGGTGGGGAGAGGGTGGGGAGAGAGTGGGGAGAGAGTGGGGAGAGAGTGGGGAGAGAGTGGGGAGAGAGTGGGGAGAGAGTGGGGAGAGAGTGGGGAGAGAGTGGGGAGAGAGTGGGGAGAGAGTGGGGAGAGAGTGGGGAGAGAGTGGGGAGAGAGTGGGGAGAGAGTGGGGAGAGAGTGGGGAGAGAGTGGGGAGAGAGTGGGGAGAGAGTGGGGAGAGAGTGGGGAGAGAGTGGGGAGAGAGTGGGGAGAGAGTGGGGAGAGAGTGGGGAGAGAGTGGGGAGAGAGTGGGGAGAGAGTGGGGAGAGAGTGGGGAGAGAGTGGGGAGAGAGTGGGGAGAGAGTGGGGAGAGAGTGGGGAGAGAGTGGGGAGAGAGTGGGGAGAGAGTGGGGAGAGAGTGGGGAGAGAGTGGGGAGAGAGTGGGGAGAGAGTGGGGAGAGAGTGGGGAGAGAGTGGGGAGAGAGTGGGGAGAGAGTGGGGAGAGAGTGGGGAGAGAGTGGGGAGAGAGTGGGGAGAGAGTGGGGAGAGAGTGGGGAGAGAGTGGGGAGAGAGTGGGGAGAGAGTGGGGAGAGAGTGGGGAGAGAGTGGGAATACATGGTACGTAAATCAATGGAACCCACATGTATTTTGAGTCGACTCAAAATACACCTCGTAAATTAATGAACCCACATGAGGGCTAACACCAATTTCCAATGATTGGCCATTAAGTTATGGCTAGTAGGAGACATCTGGTTTTGTTCTACGACTACAGTTGTGTACAGAACATATAGTTGAGTACCGAACCTATGGCTGCACCTGCCATGCATCACCACGCGAAATTATTGGTAATCATCACACGCGACAATTGGCACTAAGCGACAATGGCTCTTACATAAAACCTCAAAGCTGGCTACTGACCTCAAAGTTGAGTCGCACAGTGGTGTACACAAAAAGGCTGGAGTCACCTGTGGCACGGGTGAGACGGAACGAGAGCACCAGCATCGGGAAGGGGGGGAAGGGGGGGAGTTGGGCGGCAGAGGTAGGACACAAATACGAGGCGCAAGTTTACAAAAGGAGTGCCATCCATCACGCAACATGGCAAGTGAGCATGGCAGCACACACACACTCTGTTGTAGGTGAGTGAGGGCGACACGCCTTCCACGCACGCACCGTTGTAGGTGAGCATGGCGACGGAGATGGAGTGCATGACGTTGTTGATGAAGAAGCTGTCTGCCAGGTACTGCAGGCGATGGTGAAGCAGGTTACAGCTGCACACCTACCTACCCACCACGCACCTTTGCACGTGAGCATGGCATCAAGCACACACCGTTGTATGTGAGCATGGCAACGGAGATGGACTGCGTGGAGTTGTCGATGAAGAAGCTGTCTGCCAGGTACTGCAGGCGCCGCGTGGCCGCCTCGTTGTCCAAATTGATGTCGAATATCACCGGAAACATATTCTCGCCAGGCTGGCGGGGGGAATTGAGGGGGGGGGTGGTGGGGGGGTGATGGAAATGTGAGGACAGGATGTGAAGCATGCCATGAGTGTGTGCCTCCTTGTCAAGGTTGATGCCGAACATCACTGGAAGAAACATCTGCTCGCCAGGCTGGCACGAGAAAATGGGAGGGGGGAAGGGAAAGGGGAAGGGGGAGGGGAGAGGGGAGGGGGGAGGGGAGGGGGGAGGGGGTGGTGGTGATGGGGATTGACGCATGAGGAATTGACGCCAAAAATCATCGGGCACATGCTCTCGCCAGCCTAGAAATGCGCGGAAAAGGCGTCAAATATACGAAGAATGTGCTCTTGCCAGGCTGACACCGTGACATGACAACGGGCCAGAGGATGAGTCCGAGGAGCCAGAGGAGAGGCTTAGGAAGACGGGGAAGGGGCCAGGAAACTATTTTTGAGGCGCCACAAAAAAAGACTCCTCACGCATGAGTGAGGAGAGGCTTAGCTTTTGAGTCGACTCAAAAGCAGACTCAAAAGCTGAGTCGACTCAAAACCACAAAAATAGACTCCTCACACATGAGTGAGGAGACGCTTAGGAAGACGGGGAAGAGGCCAGGAAAGAGGGTGCGAGGCAGGCCGGGTGGAGCCCTAAACCTCAAGCCCGAAACCTCAAGCCCCAAACCTCAAGCCCGAAACCTCAAGCCCGAAACCTCAAGCCCGAAACCTCAAGCCCAAAACCTCAAGCCCAAAACCTCAAGCCCAAAACCTCAAGCCCGAAACCTCAAGCCCGAAACCTCAAGCCCGAAACCTCAAGCCCGAAACCTCAAGCCCAAAACCTCAAGCCCAAAACCTCAAGCCCAAAACCTCAAGCCCGAAACCTCAAGCCCGAAACCTCAAGCCCGAAACCTCAAGCCCGAAACCTCAAGCCCGAAACCTCAAGCCTGAAACCTCAAGCCCGAAACCTCAAGCCCGAAACCTTAAGCCCTGAACCTTAAGCCCTAAACCCAGAGAAGTGGCACTCACCTTGGCGACTTGGAAGCCGTAGGGGATCCCATCGTCCCGCACTGTGATAGGCTGCACGTTGTCCACGTCAGCACCGGGCAGCGAGTCGTTGAGCGCCACAAGGGCGGAGGGGTCGTAGAGCGAGGAGGAGGGCAGGAAGTACGGGTTCACGCCGAAGGGGTCCGTGGACGTGCCGTTGATGCAGTGAGGGAAGAGGGCCGAGAACCTGGGAGATATGGGCGCGTGCGCGTGTGTGCGCGGGGAGGGAGGGAGGAGAAGGGAGAAAGGAGAAGCAATGAGCCCGCAATGTGGGAGGGAGCAATGAGCAATGAGCAGTAAATGTGGGAGAAGTAAGTGTGGGAGGGGGAGAAACTAGAGAGAGCCTGATTGGTGGTGCGGCGGGGAAGGAAGGCGTGAGTGACTGATGTGTGATGGATGGATGGATGGATGGATGGATGGATGGATGGATGGATGGATGGATGGATGGATGGATGGATGGATGGATGGATGGATGGATGGATGGATGGATGGATGGATGGATGGATGGATGGATGGATGGATGGATGGATGGATGGATGGATGGATGGATGGATGGATGGATGGATGGATGGATGGATGGATGGATGGATGGATGGATGGATGGATGGATGGATGGATGGATGGATGGATGGATGGATGGATGGATGGGTGGGTGGGTGGGTGGGTGGGTGGGTGAGACGGAGGGGACGAAAGTGAAGCTGACCTGGATGGTTGACAGTCGATGCCGTCCCACCGGGTCTGCTCGATCTTCAACCCTATCAGCACCCTGCCATGCACCATGCACCATGCACCATGCACCATGCACCATGCACCATGCACCACGCAGCATGCAACATACACCATGCACCACGCACCATGCACCATGCACCATGCGACATGCATCATGCACCATGCACGCACCATGCACCATGCACCATGCAACATGCAACATGCACCATGCACCATGCAACATGCACCATGCAGCATGCACCATGTCTCATACACCACACCCAGTTCAATTTAATGTTGTTAAAATATCGAAAATCACTTGCTCTGATCGTACTTAATCTGCTCTGCTGTTCCCAGCCTACCCACTTCTACCCACCAGTTCTGTTGTACCCACCTGATCTGTTGCGCCCACATTCTCTGTTGTACCCACCTGATCTGTTGCGCCCACCTTCTCTGTTGTACCCACCTGTTCTGTTGCACCCACCTGTTCTGTTGCACCCACCTGTTCTGTTCCGCCACATAGCGTGACAGTGCCACCTCCTCTGTGTCATTCGCTGACGCATTGCCGCCCATGGGTGCTGACGTGGCATTGCTAGCATATGCTGACGTGGCGTTGGAGAACATGTCGAGGGTGAAGGAGAAGGAGAGACCTTCCCCTATGGCTGACGTCATGCAGCATGCTGGGAGGGCGGCATGGCAAAGGGAGGGTGGGAAGAGGGGTGGGGAGATGGAATCTGAGAGATGACGATGTGAGAAAGTGGGGCGGGAGGAGGGGGGTTGGAACTTGGGAGGGAAAGAAGGGATGGGATGGGCTACACATTATCTACCCAGTCATCCACCCCTGTGCTTACCTTCCCACCACACGACATCACCCATACCATTGATCACTCGCACATGCCATCACTCCAGCGCCCGTCACTCGCACATGTCATCGCCTTATCCCTCGCACGGACGCCCCTTATCCCTCACACACCCCTTGTCCCTCACACCCCTCACCATCACTCACATCCTTCGTCCGACCGAACCTGTCCCGGAGGACAGGGGCAGTGTTGTGGGCTGGCCACAAACCCCACCGGACCTATCCCCGAGCCTAGCGCCGAGCCAGACGGTGCAGGTACGGGAACAGATGTGGGCGGCAGAGAGCAGGCGCAATCTCCGCCGTCAAAAGCACATGCGTCGACATTGCAGGGAGGGTTGCAATTTCCGTCTGCTAGCGAGGAGAGAACGCAGCCCGGGGCGCACTCTATTGGCTTCCTGGACTGACCAGTGGCAGCATGGGAACGGGAGGAGGAGGAAGCGGAAGAAGAGGAGGAGGTGGAGGAGGAGGGGGAGGGGGAGGGAAGCACAGTGATGGAGCCGCGTGTGGGCTCCCCCACTCTGGCGCACTCGTAGACGAAGGTTCCGGGCACGGGGAACACGGTGGTGTAGGTGAATGGCGTGGGGGGAGAGGAGGTGGCGGTGGTCACCGTGGGACCTGCAGATTGATGGGAGGGGAGTGGAGGAAACGAGTGGAGTCAGTGGGTATGAGCGAGGGAGTGCGTGAGTGTTGCATGATGGGGGGGGGCGGAGGGGTAGAAAAGGAAGACATAGAGGGGGGGTTGGGGAGGAGAGGATATGGGTAGAAGGAAGAACGAAATAGCCCGGTATTGAGCGGCATGGGGCTGAGAGAAAGGAGGGGAAGCCACTCAGATGTGCACGGGTGCCTGTACATCGGTGCGCACGTGTACATCCGAGTGCGCACGTGTACATCGGTGCGCACGTGCACATCGGTGCGCACGTGTACATCGGTGCGCACGTGCACATCGGTGCGCACGTGCACATCGGTGCGCACGTGTACATCGTTGTGCACGTGTACATCGGTGCGCACGTGTACATCGGTGCGCACGTGTACATCGGTGCGCACGTGTACATCGGTGCGCACGTGTACATCGGTGCGCACGTGTACATCGGTGCGCACGTGTACATCGGTGCGCACGTGTACATCGGAGTGCGCACGTGTACATCGGTGCGCACGTGTACATCGGTGCGCACGTGTACATCGGTGCGCACGTGCACATCGGTGCGCACGTGCCCATCGGTGCGCACGTGCACATCGGTGCGCACGTGCACATCGGTGCGCACGTGCACATCGGTGCGCACGTGCACATCGGTGCGCACGTGTACATCGGTGCGCACGTGTACATCGGTGCGCACGTGTACATCGGTGCGCACGAGTACATCGGTGCGCACGTGTACATCGGTGCACACGTGTACATCTGTGCACGCGTGTGCATAGGTGCACATGTCTGCAGATGCACACGGGCCTCTCACATCCGCGCAGAGCATATGCGCATGTACCGCAACTCACTGAGGACGCATGGTGCAGGATCCGCATCGGCGGGTTGTGAGCCATTGATGGGCATCGCAGTGGGCCCCACATTGCCCGCGCCGCACACCATGTCAGCGCTGACCACCAGCCGTCCGCTGCCCATGCCGTAGAACGGGGTCGCCGCAGCGTCGCCGAAGCCCGCCACTGTTGCAGGAAAGCGGAAGGGAGAAGGCATGTGGAGAATCGGTTTTGAAGCGCCTCAATAGCGTGCCGTGTAAAGGCGTCGCCGCTGCGTCGCCGAAGCCCGCCACTGCGGGGGAAAGTGGAAGGGAAGAGGCGCGAGGAGAACGGGATTTGGGCGCCTCGGGAGCATGCCCTAGAAAGGCAAGGCAGCCACGTCCCCAAATCCCCCCACTGTGTGGGGGGGAGTGGACAGGAAGAGGCACCTGGAGAAAGCAGCCATTCGGGGAAATGTATGTAAATAGGATAAACGAAAGAGGGTTTGAGGAAAGGGGTGTGGGACGGAAAGGTGGAGATATGAGGGAGGGACAACGTGAGTAGACTGCTCACACCCACCATTGTCACAGGACAATTTGTGCACCCACCGTTGATGGCGTGAGGCTGGCCGTCCGCCCACACCCATGTGACGCGCTCCCCCACGCGCACCACCGTGCTCGGATGCTTACTCGCCCCCCACATCACTGTGGGGCCTATGGCTGGTGGGTGACAGTATGGAATGGCATGGCATGGCATGGCATGGCATGGCATGGTGCAGGAGAGAGAGGAGAACGGAAGAATGTGCTCTGATGCTTGCCCGCCCCCCACATGACTGTGGGCCCTCTGGCTAGTGGGGAGACGAAGAGAGGGGAGACAAGGAGAGGAGAGAGAAGAGAGGGGAGACGAGGAGAGGGGGAAGAAGCGAGGGGAGACAAGGAGAGGAGAGAGAAGAGAGGGGACACGAGGAGAGGGGGAAGAAGAGAGGGGAGACGAGGAGAGGAGGGAGGAGAGGGGGGAGACGAGGAGAGGGGGAAGAAGAGAGGGGAGACGAGGAGAGGAGGGAGAAGAGGGGGGACGAGGGGGATGTGGGAAAGCGAGAAGCTAATTTACTGCAAGGGACTTAAGGGGGAGACTGTCAGAGGAAAGAGGGCACAGAGCAGACGTGCAGTCTCGTCCCTTAACCCTCAACCTCACGTCCTCAACCCCCCCCGCTTTACCAAGTCCTCACCCCCCCTCTCCCCCATATCCCCCATCCTTACCCCAACCCCCCCGTCTCCCATTCTCCCCCCTTTCCCAATCTCGCCCCTGCCGGACCCATCCCCCATCTACCCCCCTCCGCTCCCCTCCCCCCCTCTCCTCCCCCTCTGGTTCTCACCCGTGGTGCCGCAGCCAGGCAGGGAGGGGTCCACGACAACAGGGTCAAAGGCGTGCAGCAAGCGGGCGGCATCTGCCACGTCATCATCCGGCAACAGGACGGCGGACTTGAGTGCTGCAGTGAGGAGAAGGATGAATCGCGCCGCCTGGTCTCGTGATAACTGGACCGTTTGATTGCTGGGTGGAATCATGGGAGAGGAGGGAGTTGGAAGAACGATGAAGATGGTCGATTTGCCATGTGGCAACACCATAAAAACATTGCAGCCCCCGCACCGCGTTGACCAGAGACCAGCATGCAACATAGCAGCCCCCGCACCGCGTTGACCAGAGACCAGCATGCAACATAGCAGCCCCCGCACCGCGTTGACCAGAGACCAGCATGCAACATAGCAGCCCCCGCACCGCGTTGACCAGAGACCAGCATGCAACATAGCAGCCCCCGCACCGCGTTGACCAGAGACCAGCATGCAACATAGCAGCCCCCGCACCGCGTTGACCAGAGACCAGCATGCAACATAGCAGCCCCCGCACCGCGTTGACCAGAGACCAGCATGCAACATAGCAGCCCCCGCACCGCGTTGACCAGAGACCAGCATGCAACATAGCAGCCCCCGCACCGCGTTGACCAGAGACCAGCATGCAACATAGCAGCCCCCGCACCGCGTTGACCAGATACCAGCATGCAACATAGCAGCCCCCGCACCGCGTTGACCAGAGACCAGCATGCAACATAGCAGCCCCCGCACCGCGTTGACCAGATACCAGCATGCAACATAGCAGCCCCCGCACCGCGTTGACCAGATACCAGCATGCAACATAGCAGCCCCCGCACCGCGTTGACCAGAGACCAGCATGCAACATTGCAGCCCCCGCACCGCGTTGACCAGAGACCAGCATGCAACATAGCAGCCCCCGCACCGCGTTGACCAGAGACCAGCATGCAACATAGCAGCCCCCGCACCGCAGCATGCTGCTTTGCATGGATTACAAAGCAGCGTGGATTACATGCTGCTATGTATGGAATACATGCACAGTAGTTGAACAGTAGTTGCACAGTAGTTGCGCAGTAGTTGTGCAGTAGTTGCGCAGTAGTTGTGCAGTAGTTGCGCAGTAGTTGTGCAGTAGTTGCACAGTAGTTGCGCAGTAGTTGCACAGTAGTTGCACAGTAGAGCACATCACATGCATAGTATTGTGTGACACATGCATTGAGCATGACACCATCCAAGCAATCATCATGTGTCAGTCACCAGCTTACACACCACATACATGCACTCAACATGCACTCACGTGGCAACAGTCCACGGCACGTCGCCTGCCAGCTCAGAAACAGACACCAGCTGCTGCCCCTCCCTTGATGACGCATACACGCACCCCGGCACCTTCTCAGCAGCTTCCGCACCCCCAAAGAGAGTGCAGAGGAATGCAGAGAGGCGGGATCGGGACATGGGGGAGAGGAGGACAGGTGGGAGGATGGACGGGGAGGAGCGGGTGGAGCGCCGAGACGGGGAGGGAGAGGAGGAGGAGGAGGGGGTGTTGGCACGGGGGGAGAAGAGGGGGGAGCCTACGAGGCAGTTGTCCTTGACAGCTGTGTATATGGCACGGGAGACTGCCACGCGGAGACTTGTTATTCGCTGGGCGTCCGTGGCGCCGAGGTGGGTCCAGATGCTGGTGTTGTTGGCTGGGAGGGGAGGGGGGAGAGTGGGGGGGGGGGGGGAGAGGAGTGGCCACGGGAAGAGAGGTGGGGAGATTGGGGAGACCAGATGGGATGGAAAAAAGGGGCCGGGAGGCAGGGAAGGGAGGCAGGAAGGGAGGCACGGAAGGGAGGCAGGGAAGGGAGGCAGCGAAGGGAGGCAGGGAAGGTAGGCAGGAAGGAAGGCACGGAAGGGAGGCAGGAAGGAAGGGTGAGGAAAAGCACTGATGGCAGGGGCAAAGGAGGGAGTAGGTGCGAGCTCCGATGGGAGAAAGAATCCGAAAGGGGGCAAACGGGTGAGAAGGAGAGGGGCGGGGAGCACGCATCGCCAGCATGCATGCAGCAGCGCTGCTGAGCGCTACCCACCAGACACAGTAGCAAGCTTTTGAGTCGACTCAAAAGGGCAAACGGGTGAGAAGGAGAGGGGCGGGGAGCAAGCATCGCCAGCATGCATGCAGCAGCGCTGCTGAGCGCTACCCACCAGACACAGTAGCAAGCTTTTGAGTCGACTCAAAAGGGCAAACGGGTGAGAAGGAGAGGGGCGGGGAGCAAGCATCGCCAGCATGCATGCAGCAGCGCTGCTGAGCGCTACCCACCAGACACAGTAGCAAGCTTTTGAGTCGACTCAAAAGGGCAAACGGGTGAGAAGGAGAGGGGCGGGGAGCAAGCATCGCCAGCATGCATGCAGCAGCGCTGCTGAGCGCTACCCACCAGACACAGTAGCAAGCTTTTGAGTCGACTCAAAAGGGCAAACGGGTGAGAAGGAGAGGGGCGGGGAACAAGCATCGCCAGCATGCATGCAGCAGCGCTGCTGAGTGCTACCCACCAGACACAGTAGCAAGCGCCGAGGCAGCAGCAGCTACTGCATTTTCCGCCAGCCGTTTCCGAGCCAGCTTCCGAGTCGCCTGCCGAGCCTGGTGCCATGAGGAGGTTCGGCTGACAGCCTGTGCTGCCCGCTCCCAGAGGCCCCGAGCCTTCCTCTGAGGTACGGGGAGGTGCAGAGAGGTGTGGACGGTGAATTGGCGAGAGGAATGGGGGACGTAAGGGATGAGGGGAGAGGGAGTGTGAAGATGCAGAGAGGGATGGTGGTGGAGGAGCATGGGTTTAAGATGCAGTGGAGGAGCATGGGTTTAAGATGCAGTGCAGGTGCATGGGTTTAAGATGCAGTGGAGGAGAGGAGCGGGAAGACAGAGGGAGGGAATCGAGGCAGGCGGAGACCCAAGGCACAGGGAGGTGAGGAGGAAAGGAAAGAGCTCGACGAAAGGGGCAAACAAGTGGGAATAGAGCAGGGGGTGATGGCAGGAGGAGTCTATTTCTGAGGCGCCTCAAAAATAGACTCAAAACGGCAGGTGAAAGCAAGGAGAGGGTTGTACTCCAGGACATAGAGGGGGGTGATCTGTGGTGCTAGACCAATGGACCCATATTTCTCAGGGTTAACCATGGTGGAAAAAGCCTTGCGAGGCAGCGGTTCTGAAAAAGCTCGAGCTGAAGGGATGTTCAGGAGGTTTTGATGGAAAACCAGTGATGAACTAGTTTCGGCTTATACAAGCCTTCATCAGCATCTACTGAACAACAGAGCATTCGAGCTGTCTAAATAGTGAGAGTGCGACCCGAGAAAAACTCGAGGGTCCACACCATCCCCGAGAAGGGGTCACTGTAGCCTAGCAAAAGTCCAGATAAGTGTAACAAATTTGGAACACTAATCTAGCATTTCCTTGCTGAGACTATAAAATCCTTTATCTTCTTTGGCAGCTTCCATGCAATCAATGCACGTCGGCCGGAGAATAAACCGTGTGTCAGCTTGTCCAGTTGTATTTTGAGTCGACTCAAAATTGGCCCGAGACCCGAGCGCTCCACAAGAGGATTGAGGAGGCACTTCAAGACCAAGGGGCCACGGTCGGGTTTGGTCCGCAGTTCAGCGGCACGTTGGAGAAGCTCGGTCCGGTCAGAAAATCTGACACGCTTGAAGATCTGTAAAAGGAAACGTTCCGGGTAACCCCGGGCGCGAAGACGGGCGAAGAAAAGCGCTCGAGCAGCGAAAAAGTCAGCTCGGTTCGTAGATCGAAGAAGTGTTCGCCGTAACTCGCTGGAAATGAAGCTGACTTTGCAGCTCCTGGTGTGGTACGACCGGTACGGAAGATACATGTACCGGTTCATAGGCTTCTGGAAGAGTTTCACATCCAGTGAACCTTCCTTCGAAAAACGACTCCCCTTGAAAAAGGTAATATCGAGGAAATCCACAGTCTCCTGAGAAACCGTCCAGGTCAACTTGATGGAAGGATGTAGCTTTCCAAACTGGAGCCGAAAATCCTCGAACGAAGAAGGGGGCCCATCCCAGAGGACCAGGCCATCGTCAATATAACGAAGGTGAAGCGCTGGAGGCTGACTGACGACGCGACTGAGTTTCAGATCTAGATAGCTCAGAAACAAGACGGCGAAACATACTGCTGCGGAAGTTCCCATAGCAGTCCCTTGAATTTGACGAAAAAATCTGCCGTCGAAAGCCACGTAGCTGTTAAACATTACCCAGCGGAGCAGGCGGACAACAAGAGGGGCAAGTGGGTGCCTGACACGCAGTAAGAAAAAATCAACTGCGTCAATCCCGTCCCAAAGCGGGATCGAAGGATACAAGGCTTCCACATCGTATGAAGCCAGCAGAAGAATAGGTGGTAGTCCCTTAGCCTCCAGCACTAGGAGTAAACTTTGCGAATCCTTCAGGTACGTCGGCTGGCTGGTAACCAGAGGTCGTAAAACAGCGTCAAGCCAACGGGAAACATTAGAAGTGACCCAAGAGTGGGAAGCCGCAATCGGTCTTCCCGCAAGGACCTTCTTGTGCACCTTCGGGATAGTGTAAAAAGCCGGGACTTTCCAGCCTCCAGCCGGCGGTGCAAGAAAGGATTTCCAGATTCTCGCCTTAAGCAGAGGTTGGAAATCTGCTTGAATGCCATAGAAGTCTTTCACAATTTCAGCGACCGGGACTTCCTGGTATTCGCGATAAACTTGCCTGTCCAGGAGATGTTTAAAACACATGTCCTTGTAAAAATCCCTGTCCATGACAGCCAAACCCAGGTTCTTGTCGGCGGGTTTAAAAACCAAATTCTGGTTGGAAGCCAGTCGTCGAAGTGCTGGTAGCAGTTTAGAAGTTCTCCTGGAAAACTGTTGTTCTGAAACTGCTTTCATGGCTGCGTGCTTGGAGAGTGAAAGTGCTGTTTCCACCTCAGCAGATGCGAGGGGAGGATTCCAGTTCAGCCGTTTGGGAAGCTTGTAACCAGGAAACTCAGATTTCATTGCAGCACCGTTGAACAAAATAGTCGTACGAACGTCTTTAACGAGACATTCTAACTCTTCAGCGAAAGAATTGATACGACGAGCAGCTGGAACAGGGATAAAGCTGAGACCCATGCCGAGGATTTCTGCTTCAGGAGGAGAGAAATGAAAACGGGAGAAATTGTGGTAGTCCTTGTTGCTCACACGACACCGCACTTGACTCTCGGTCTTTCGACCAAAAAGAATCAAGGCGTAGTGGTGGACATCTGCGACTAAAGTTTCTTCCCCTTTCCGCGGCCGCTTCCGCCGTTTTTTGACTGGTGATTCTGCTTCGGCTTGTGCATCAGCTTCTGGTCCTGCCTCTGCTTCGGATAATTATTCCTGCCAGTAGAAGAGTTAGAAGCCTTGGAAGACGGAGCAACATAAGGATTCTTGGAAGAAGATGCAATATTAGAACCTCCGAAGGAGTTTTCCTGTATCGGCTTCTTCCCCTTGTCAAGCGGACGGTTGGGCCTGTTAGTGGGTCCTTTAGCAGGACGTTTGTTTGAAGTCACCGAAGAGTCGCCAGTCTTCTTAGAAGTCTGGGACTTATTCTTCAGAATCTGCTGCTTCTGATTCTTCTGCTTCTGCTTCTGCTGTGGGTTGAACTTCTTGTTGAGGATCTTATCAGCTTCCTGCTTGACGATCTCACGGATCGAAGTGTCAACTGGTAAAGTTTCGGCTTCCGCAGCAGCCGCCTTCTTCTTTGCGTCAACCTCCTTGGCTTTTTCTGTCTGGTGGACTTCTGCCATAAGAGCGTCAGCAAGGTACAGTGACATCGAATTTTCGAACTCGGCCAAAATCTTATCCTTGAAGAAGGCGAGATTATCGATGAGTTTCGGGTGCTTGTCTCCGAAAGCACTGGCCTTGGTCAGATCGATGTAATTATTCAGCTTATCTTGGAGCCATTGATGAACCCCGTTGGCGTCACAGAGAGCCTTTTCGGCGGCCTTCTTCTTCATTTTTATCATGATCCCTTGAACGTTGCTAAGATAAGCCTTGCAAGCAGCATGAAGCTCATGGTTGGCTTCGATCTTGATATCTTCGTAGGGACAGATGAAGTCGAAGGCTTTAATCCGAATGCTGTGCGGAACGTCCCCGGATTTAGCTTGCGAATCCATAATAAGGTACTGCTGAGATAAACTTTGGTGCTTCGCGGAATTTTTCTTGAAATCTGCGATAGCTTGATTCTTAAAATCGTTGAAGCACGGAGGAACCGGGTGCTTGTCGAGAATAGATTGATGAACGTCTCCAAGGAAGGAGAAAGAATCCGTCATGACGACATCCTCTAGAGAGGAATCCTTAGGATTTGAACCCTTGGGTGCGTCATTAAGCGGCACGGTGGCCGTTCCAGCAGGAGCTTGCTCTGTAGGACAGGCGCGCTTCTTGTTGGGTTGGACGGTATTCGTCGAGTCATCTTCACCAAATACAATCTGCTCAATGTTAGCTGGAAGTTCGGGCAGTTGCCCTGATGGTCCAGGGAGAGCAGGTACTTGGTTAAGAGTTGGAGTTGGAGTAGTTGAACCGGCCAGCGCAGCGGCGATGTAAGGAGCGAGACCAATGGACCCATATTTCTCAGGGTTAACCATGGTGGAAAAAGCCTTGCGAGGCAGCGGTTCTGAAAAAGCTCGAGCTGAAGGGATGTTCAGGAGGTTTTGATGGAAAACCAGTGATGAACTAGTTTCGGCTTATACAAGCCTTCATCAGCATCTACTAAACAACAGAGCATTCGAGCTGTCTAAATAGTGAGAGTGCGACCCGAGAAAAACTTGAGGGTCCACACTATCCCCGAGAAGGGGTCACTGTAGCCTAGCAAAAGTCCAGATAAGTGTAACAAATTTGGAACACTAATCTAGCATTTCCTTGCTGAGACTATAAAATCCTTTATCTTCTTTGGCAGCTTCCATGCAATCAATGCACGTCAGCCGGAGAATAAACCGTGTGTCAGCTTGTACAGTTGTATTTTGAGTCGACTCAAAATACAGAAGGGGGTGATGGCAGCAGGAGTCTATTTCTGAGGCGCCTCAAAAATAGACTCAAAACGGCAGGTGAAGGCAAGGAGAGGGTTGTACTCCAGGACGTAGAGGGGGGTGATCTGTGGTGCTTACCCCTGTGGTGAGGGTCGAGTTGGTTGGATCTGAAAGGGCGATGATGAGGGACAGGAAAAGAGGAGAGGAGAGGCGAGGAGTGACAAGAAGAAGAGCTTTCATGCATCATGCACTTTTGAACTGCCATTGAACACTCATACATTGGCAGCACACTCACATAAGCATACGAGAACAATCGAGCAAGCATGAGAGAGGTTGAGAGGCAGTGAGACGCAGTGAGAGGCAGAGAGACGCAGTGAGAGGCAGTGAGAGGCAGAGAGACGCAGTGAGAGGCAGAGAGAGGCAGAGACGCAGAGAGACGCAGAGAGACGCAGTGAGACGCAGTGAGAGCAGGAGAAGCCATGGGGTCTCACAGGAGCACTGGAAGCCTGCAAGGCCGTCTGCAGTGGCGTTGATGATCTGCACGGCGAGAGGGGTGGAGGGGCATGGGGGCATGGGACATAATAGGGGGGGCATGCACACAAAGAGTGAGTGAGTGAGTAAATGAGCGTGTGTGAATGAGTGAGTGAAGGGCAGGGAGAGCAAGGAAGGGCAGGGAAGGGCAGGAAGGGCAGGGAAGGGCAGAAAGGACTTATGGTTTGCTGCAGGCGCTGCACAGATGGCAAAGCAGGAGGAGAGAGACGCAGTACATACAAACCATTGCAATGCAGCTGACCTCGGGGCAAGTGAAGCCCGGAAATGGCAGGAAGGGCAGGGAGGATTTGTCGTTGCAGGCAGAGGCGCAGGTGACAAAGAGGGAGGAGAGAGATGCAGGCGAACAGTCATCCTACCCACACTACAGAACATTGTAATGCAGCTGACCTCGGGGCATGTGAAGTCTGGGAAGGGCAGGAAGGGCAGAGATGAGTTGTCATTGCAGGCAGAGGCGCAGGTGACAAAGAGGGAGGAGAGGGCCGGCGGGGAGTAGCCGCTGGCACCACAGTAGTCCGCCAGGCAGCCGGAAAAACGCGAGCATGCCTGCAGGCACCGAGGAGGAGGGCGAGGAGAGCAACAAGGAGAGGGCGAGGGGGGAGTCTGAAAGCGTTGAGGCGTTTAGGCACAAAAAGCGGATGAAAGGAGGGAAGCAGGAGCGAAGAGAGGGGGAGAGGGGAGAGGAAAGGGGAGGTGAGGAAGAAAGAAGAAAAGATAGAACTGGAGGCAAGGCCCTCACTGTCCCTCTCACTGCATCTAATCGAACACCCGTTACTTGTGAGAGCTCTAATCGCCTCACCGATCTGCATTCGGACAAGGGAGTGATGTCTGACGTTTGGCACCCCCCCCACTCCAAGAGCACCCTCCCAAGACCCCCAACACTGTTGCTGCCACTGCTGCTGCTGCTGCCGCTGCTGCTGGCATTGGTACCAGCAGCAGCAGCAGCAGCAGCAGCAGCAGCAACAGGAGAAGTTGGACTGGCTGCGAGCCTGACGGTGCCCGCCACCCCTCCCCCCGGCGCATTGACCACCACGGACCACACGCCGTCTGGCAGAGCGAGCGTCACAGTGGAGTCAGACGCTAGGTCTGAGAACGGCTGGTCCTCGGGGTACCTGGGGAGGGGGGAGCAGCAGAGGGTGAGAACATACAGGAAGAGGAGGAAGGGACGGCCAGGTGCTGTCAGGCAGAGCGAGCGTCACAGTGGAGTCAGACGCTAGGTCGGAGAACGGCTGGTCCTCGGGGTACCTGGGGAGAGAGGGAGGGGGGGGGGAGGGGAGGGTAAGGAAGAGAATACCAGGTGTGCCGGCAAGAGAGCAAGCATAACTTGCGCGTCAGACACAAGAACTGAGACCTGCTGGTTACTAGGGTACCTGGGGAGAGGAGGGGAGAGGAGGGGGGGGAAGGACTGAGACTTGGGTGGTAGCTTGTGTGTCAGACGCAAGGACTTGGACCTGCGGTTCTCGCGGGGTACCTGGGGAGAGGAGGGGGGACCGCAGAGGAGAGCAGGCAGCCGTGACGCTCGTTTCGGCCAGCAGAGAGGGGAGGGCGGGCGCGTACCAGCAGAGGGGGGAGGGCGCGTCGAGGCAGAGGTTCCAGGAGGATGCAGCGGCGTCGGCCTGCGAGTGGAAGTCCGTGGCCACGTGCACCGTCACGTTGCTCACTGCGCCCAGGTCCCCGCAGTCAGCGGAGCAGCCGAAGCGGCCAAACGCCTCAAACTCCAAGGGGCGCTCGCAGATGCCGTTGCCACAGATGGGGTCCTTCCACACCACCTGGGGGGTGCAGGCACAGTGGGCGGGCAGAGTGGGCGGGCAGAGTGGGCGAGTAGAGTGGGCGGGCAGAGTGGGCGGGCAGAGTGGGCGGGCAGAGTGGGCGGGCAGAGTGGGCGGGCAGAGTGGGCGAGTAGAGTGGGCGGGCAGAGTGGGCGGGCAGAGTGGGCGGGCAGAGTGGGCGGGCAGAGTGGGCGGGCAGAGTGGGCGGGCAGAGTGGGCGGGCAGAGTGGGCGGGCAGAGTGGGCGGGCAGAGTGGGTGGTGTTAGTGGGTTGTTGCAAACATGGTTGTTGCACCCAAAACGTGTTGGTTCTCGCACGTTGCCAGGGTGTTTTTCAGGAGATTTTGCACGGCCAGTAAAGCCCTGTTCTTAACGATGTGGTTGGTCGCACCTGGATGATGCTATCGTTGATCCAAGTGTAGAAGTCGTCTGGGCTGCTCATGGTCATGGCAGCCGCAGCTGTGTAGTCCTGGGAGTGACGGGAGGAGGGAGAGAGAGGAGGGAGAGAGAGGAGGGAGAGAGAGGAGGGAGAGAGGGTGTAAGGTCAAACACTAGATTCTCGATAACGAGTCAAGGTAGGAAGCACGTGGGACAGAGGAGAATCAATTGGGGCCGACGAAGCAACAAAAGCCGCAGCATGTAATGATACGAACAAACTCGCATGCACGCGCACGCGCACACACGCACACACACATCCCCCCTCCCCCCCACCCCCCACACACACACACAACCACACCCGCACCCGCACGCACGGGCGGCAGCAGCACGTTGTGCGCGGTGGCGACTTGGTAGCAGAGGGAGGCGTCGGCTTGCAGGTAGAGCACGGCGAGGTAGAGGCAAGTGTAGCAGAGGAAGAAGAAGAGGTTCTTGAAGTTGTCCGTCAGCTCCCCCATGTGCTTCATGCGCTCGTACATCGCTGGGGAAGGGGGGTGGGAAAGGGGGGAGATAGGAGGAGTGAAAGGGCAACAGATGTTCTTGAAGTTGTCTGTCAGCTCGCCCATGTGCTTCACGCGCTCGTACGTTGCTGGGGAAGGGGGGTGGGGGGGTGGGAAAGGGGGGAGATAGGAGGAGTGAAAGGGCAACAGAGGTTCTTGAAGTTGTCTGTCAGCTCGCCCATGTGCTTCACGCGCTCGTACATTGCTGGGGAAGGGGTGTGGGGGGGTGGGAAAGGGGGGAGATAGGAGGAGTGAAAGGGCAACAGAGGTTCTTGAAGTTGTCTGTCAGCTCGCCCATGTGCTTCACGCGCTCGTACGTTGCTGGGGAAGGGGGGTGGGGGGGTGGGAAAGGGGGGAGATAGGAGGAGTGAAAGGGCAACAGAGGTTCTTGAAGTTGTCTGTCAGCTCGCCCATGTGCTTCACGCGCTCGTACGTTGCTGGGAAAGGGGGGTGGGGGGGTGGGAAAGGGGGGAGATAGGAGGAGTGAAAGGGCAACAGAGGTTCTTGAAGTTGTCTGTCAGCTCGCCCATGTGCTTCACGCGCTCGTACGTTGCTGGGGAAGGGGGGTGGGGGGGTGGGAAAGGGGGGAGATAGGAGGAGTGAAAGGGCAACAGAGGTTCTTGAAGTTGTCTGTCAGTTCGCCCATGTGCTTCACGCGCTCGTACGTTGCTGGGGAAGGGGGGTGGGGGGGTGGGAAAGGGGGGAGATAGGAGGAGTGAAAGGGCAACAGAGGTTCTTGAAGTTGTCTGTCAGCTCGCCCATGTGCTTCACGCGCTCGTACATTGCTGGGGAAGGGGGGTGGGGGGGTGGGAAAGGGGGGAGATAGGAGGAGTGAAAGGGCAACAGAGGTTCTTGAAGTTGTCTGTCAGCTCGCCCATGTGCTTCACGCGCTCGTACATTGCTGGGGAAGGGGTGTGGGGGGGTGGGAAAGGGGGGAGATAGGAGGAGTGAAAGGGCAACAGAGGTTCTTGAAGTTGTCTGTCAGCTCGCCCATGTGCTTCACGCGCTCGTACGTTGCTGGGGAAGGGGGGTGGGGGGGTGGGAAAGGGGGGAGATAGGAGGAGTGAAAGGGCAACAGAGGTTCTTGAAGTTGTCTGTCAGCTCGCCCATGTGCTTCACGCGCTCGTACGTTGCTGGGAAAGGGGGGTGGGGGGGTGGGAAAGGGGGGAGATAGGAGGAGTGAAAGGGCAACAGAGGTTCTTGAAGTTGTCTGTCAGCTCGCCCATGTGCTTCACGCGCTCGTACGTTGCTGGGGAAGGGGGGTGGGGGGGTGGGAAAGGGGGGAGATAGGAGGAGTGAAAGGGCAACAGAGGTTCTTGAAGTTGTCTGTCAGTTCGCCCATGTGCTTCACGCGCTCGTACGTTGCTGGGGAAGGGGGGTGGGGGGGTGGGAAAGGGGGGAGATAGGAGGAGTGAAAGGGCAACAGAGGTTCTTGAAGTTGTCTGTCAGCTCGCCCATGTGCTTCACGCGCTCGTACATTGCTGGGGAAGGGGGGTGGGGGGGTGGGAAAGGGGGGAGATAGGAGGAGTGAAGGGGCAACAGATGTTCTTGAAGTTGTCTGTCAGCTCACCCATGTGCTTCACGCGCTCGTACATGGCTGGGGGGGGAAGGGGGGAGAAGGGGGAGGGGGAAGCCGCGGAAGGGCGATCGGGGCAGAGGAGCTGACTTAGCCGCCGCCCATGTGCGTCACGCGCTCATACATCGCTGGGGGGGAAGAGGAGAGGAGAGGGGGGAGAAGAGGGGAGAGGAGGGGAGAGGAGAGAGAGGAGAGAGAGCAGGGCGAGGTAGAGCCAGGTCAATGACGCGCAATGCGCATGGCACGTCACACCTGGAAAAACACCTGAGGCGGGCGGGCAGCACTGCACCCACCCTGAACAACCTCCTGGTCGAGCTTCTCCCGCTGCTCCACCTCCGCGTTGTACCCCTCATCGTCCTCCTCCTCCTCCTCCTCCTCGCTCGCCCCGTGCCGGCCTGCAAACGACACCATGCTTCGCCTGCTGCGAGACGCCTTCAGGCCCCTCATCGCTGCCAGATTCACATCCTCGTTATTGGCGTCCTCGCCTCCCTCCGTATCGTCCTGCTCCTCCTCCTCCTCCTCGTCGCCCTCCTGCGACTCCCTGTCACCGCCTCTAGGTGTGAACATGTCATCACCATCATCATCAAGTTCTAAGTCGTCCCCCTCATTGTCATCGTCATCGTCCTGAAATTCAACCACCAGCTTTCCGTTTAAACTGAGCCCGTTGGGTCTCGAACCCGCGTCTCTTGCTTCCCTGCCGCTATCCTGCTGGCCCTCGTCGGCATTCCCTAGGGCATCAAGTCCTCCAACCCGATTTCTGGAGGAAGAAGCATGCGCGGCGCTGCGAGTGGGGTCCCTCCCGCGCGAGCTCGCGCTAACAGCTCCTTCCGCGGCTAGTTCCGCGGATTCGCGCGGCCTCTCCGCTGCTCCAAGGGGGTGCCTGGCGGAGAAGAGAACGGCGGAACGGACAGCGGGTGGGCGGGCGAGGAGGATGGGGGGAAGCACAAATAGTTGGAGTCGGCGAAACGAGCCCCGTAAGTGCGCCTAGAGTGGGATTCTGAACGAGAGCTAACGTCTTGGCGCATGTACAGAGTAGAACGCGCTAGCCAAAAGCCGTTCGGGTTCATACCTAACCCTAGTAGACATCTGCACGTGTTGATGCTGCCGGCCCTGGCTCTCATTCTCGTGTTGCGTGAAACGGGTCGGGTGACTGAGGGATCCTGGCGAGCGAATGGCCGCGTTATTGTCACACGGTGTACGAGGGAATGACTGCGCGGAGCTGGTCCGTGGAACGTTCGGGTCAGGCGAGTGGTTGTCGCGATGCCACCTCACAACAGTCGCCTCCGCCATTGACTGGTTTCCAGAAAGAACTAAAAATTAAATGTAACAATAACAAAAAGCGGAGGCGTGCATGTCGAGAATCGCTGCACGTAAAGGGACTTTCGAACACAGCTTCAGACACCAGCGACGCCTTTTCCAGTAACTTTTCCTCTGGTGGAAATACGAGTAAATGCTACTTGTGCATTGTTTATCTGGTGTGCCCCTTGTGGATTGACGGAGCAACTGACGGAGGTGCAATACGCGCTCCGAACCAGCAGATGTTATCAGTGCTTTTCATTTCACAATTCCCGGGCAGGCGGAAACGGAACGGGGAAGGGAGGGACAGGTTGGACGAGGGGAGCAGGGGGAGGGAAAAGTGATGTGCGGGCGGGGGGAGAAAGCGGTGAGACGGGGGACACCGCGGCTGGGGAGAGATCGGCGGGGGAGAGGGGATCATCACTGACGCGCCAACGCGCACCCTTTGGCCAAGTGTGTGGCCTGGACGGTGTGGTGTGGATGTTACGGTAGGGCAGGACAAACTGAGGAATTCCGAGAGGACCTAACCAGCCAACGGTCCACGTTCATCCCCGCTCTAAGTTCCTTCACCTAAAAACAATCACGCATCACCCTATTGCTACAGTAACTTAATTACTCAAAAGCGAGATTCCATCACATTCTTCAATTTCTGTAACAAATGGATCACTATTTGTGCGGACCGATACCTACGCGCTCGATATCTTCAGCCCAGCGTTGCTTGTACTAATCTATGCTCTCAGCAAACAACCTTCCAGCCAGTAAATCCTCATCCCCGACCTTCAGCCCTGTGCAGACAGAGGTGCAATTGAAGCTATTCATTGTTTGGCACCTGCCACCTGCAGGACTTAGCGCCGTGAACGAGAGTTGGCGCTCGCTTGGCTGATCAGTCGCTCTAGCTGGACGAGGAGGACAATCAGCATGGCGCACAGGATCACGTGGGTGGGTTGAATCTTGGACAAGAACTTGTCAGCGTCACCTAGCGTCTGGTTGAGCACTTTCACCTGCGTCCAGGCAAAGGCAACGGAAGAGTAGCGGCAGTGAGAAATTAACACCGAGGCTGGTTGAAACGACGATGTTATGAAGGCGACTGACCATGTTCCTGTGATACGGCCTGACGTAACGCCATACGCCTTCGTTCGGACGGAGACCAATCCGAACGAAGAGGAGATACAGCTGCGAGAATTGGAACAAGGTGAAAACACCGGCGAACATCGCCAGCGGCGGAGCGAGGAGGATTAAGATCGGCCACATGGCGCTGTCCATCTCTGACAAACTACTGCAGCTCGACGAAGATCTCCAGCAAAACGGGAGGAGCACTACGTGCAGAGAACGAAGAAGAGGTGAACGCGAATTCCAGAGCAAGCTGCAGGGATAATACGGTATTTAGAATCTGGAGACTAGGGAGGGAGCGAACGGCGGGTTAGGCGTGAAACGCATGCACGCTGTCATGGTCGGGTCAGGGCTATCCGAGGTGTTGTCCGAGAGATCGGCGATGGCTGTTCACGACATGAGGTTGGGCCAAATCCAGTATACAAACACCCGATAACCTCTCATACCCTAGGTACATTTCAGTCAATATGATCGTAAATAAGATCATAGATAGGATTATTTTGAAATGTAAACTTTCGATATGGATGGTTAACTCGCCATAATGTACTATTTCACAAGTTAAAGCGAGTAATGGTTTGCTTTTTCGAGGTATCTCGTGTGTATTGAAAGGATGGAATCCACTAGTGAAGTAGAGGATGCGCCTATGGCGAACAGATTGTGCGGTTTGTGGAACCAGACAGCAGCTTCCACTGGCATGTTTTGACGAGCCGCCGCTGCTTGCTTCCTCCCCTCCCTCACTTCCTCTTCCCTCCCCTCCGCCTCCCGGATTCCCTTCATTCCTCCCGCGTCTCCCTCACTCTCTCGTCCATGCCTCCTCAGCCCAGTCTCAGGCACGCCGCCACGGCTCGCACCAGGGATCCGCCGCCTGTCCCGCCGCAGGTGAAGGCCCGGAAGCGGCGCAGCATGTGGGGCTTCGGGCGTCAGAGGTCCGGCGCGGCTCAGGTGCTCCACGTTGCAAAGCCTTTCGCGGCATACCCGTCGACCTGTTAGCATGTCGAGAGAAGGCGCGTTTGTTGACGAAATCGCCTTTCACCGCTTTCTTATTATATGCCCTAGTCTCGCTCTTAAAGCCCCAGGTCGCGTGCAAAGGTCTCTCGGTCCTTGACTTCAGAATCGCGAGTGAGTGTCTGATCAGTACGCGAGTGCGTCGCCGTCGCTGCCACCCCATTCGCGTCTAACGGCCTGTCGCGTTCCAATCTTCTTCCATCTTACACCACCGTGGATGCCACATCAGCCGTTTCGCCGCAACCGTTAACCACTCCCTTATTTCGCAGCATCGTTCTACACTCCATCCCGGCCAGTCGTCCCCGTGAGGTCCTCCGTTTTTTAGGCGCCTCAAAAATAGGCGCCTCAAAAATAGGCTCCTTTATTTCGCAGCATCGTTCTACACTCCATCCCGGCCAGTCATCCCCGTGAGGTCCTCCGTGAGCACCGCCAATCTTCCCATGCAGATTTCGCCGCCGTCGTGGTCCCGCCACTCCTCGCCCCCACCGTCTCCCTCTCGCATTCCCCTCACCCCTGCCCCTTCCCGTGCCCGCCCATTCCCTCCCCGTTCCTCCCCGCAGTCCCCGTGCACGGCGGCGCTCATCCCCTTCCTCGCCACGCTCTTCGTCGCGTCCACTCTCACCTTCTGGCTGTTCACGCACCCCGCGGGTCAGGCGCTCCTCCGCTCCCTCCTCGAACCCAACGCCACCCGGACGGGGGCGTTTGCGCCGGGGAACGTCGGGATTGGTGATTCAGACGAGGCGGCTTCCGAGCCTACTGCGAGTGACGCATTAGCAGGGGAGGAAAGGACGAGGTCGGACAGAGGGGGAGGGGCGGAAGGGGGGGAAGGAGACGGGAGGGCAGGGGAAGGAGAGAGGGTTGGCTCAGGGCAAGGTAGATCCAAGGCTGCAGCTACACCTGCATCCGCGTTTGGGAGTGATTCGTTTCTACGAGAGGGCAACGCGACTGTGCCTCGGATTCTGACCTTCGATCTGGTCAAGACTTACTCGCACGACAGCAGGGCCTTCACCCAGGCACGTTGGGCAGGGGTAGCCCCATTTGCATTGCTGCCTTTCGACCTTCTCAAGACTGCACCCGTTTATAATCTTCAAGGCCCAGTCAAGCCCATCCTGGCGCCCTGATCTAGCTTGCCCGCCTTGCTTCAAGTTCCCCGCTCCCCCTTGTTCCCCCTGCACCTCCCCCCCAGGGTCTGCTGTATGTGGACCACGAGGCGAGCGGAGGGAGAAGCAGCGGCGAGGGGGTGTTCTATGAGAGCACGGGGGAATACGGGCGGGTGCGTGGGGTGTGGGGGGGTATATTGTGGTGCGGGCAGGTGAGTGGGATATGGCCGGTGAGTGGGATATGGGCGGGTGAGTGGGATATGGGCGGGTGAGTGGGATATGGGCGGGTGAGTGGAGTATGGGTAGGTGAGGGTTGAAATTGGTTCTCCGTTTGTGTGTGCAACTGAATGCCGCTCCACTGGTGCTCATGCTCTTCATGTCTGCAACATCAGCACCGGCTTTTTCTTCGCCCGCCATGTCCTTCCCTCTCCCCTTGCCCCTCTCCCCCGTGTGTCCCCGTGCAGTCGACCGTGCGGGAAGTGGATGTGGCTACTGGGGAGGTATGCTGCAGTGCCATGGCACAGTATGGTGTTGCCACGGCATCCTGAGTTGCGATGCTGCTGTGGCGTCTTACCGTTTGCCGCACCAGGGCATGCTATGCTGGTCCTATGCGCATGCTATGTATGCCGCAGCATGGCCTTCTGCTATGCACATGCCCCTTTCGGTGCGGTCGCATGGCATCCTGTGACAGTCTGTAGAGAATCCCCAAAGATCAGCACGAATGATGACATAGCATCGCGGACACTGTGTCTCCAGCGTCCTCCCCATCCCTGTGCTCTCCCCCGCCCACCAGGTGCTCAACAGCGTGGCTCAGAGCGCAGACGTCTTTGGCGAGGGCCTGGCCCTGCACAGGGACAAGTAAGTGCCTCTTGCCTGTTCAAGCTGTCTCTCCGCCGTGTTTCCCTTCCTCCAACTGGATGGTTTACTGCCCCCTCGGTACCTCATTCATTCCGCTGACCCATTCTGTACCACCTGCCGTGACATGCCAGGACATGCATAGACGGGGTAACGCCTCTGAACCGCTCTCAGCCACTTCAATGCCCCCTTTCTGGGTCCCACAGGCTGATCCAGCTGGCATGGCGAGTGAGGAAAGGCCTGGTCTACGACAGGGACATGTCTCTGAAGCCTCAATGATCCGCTGTAGAACCTTCTGAAACCCATCATAGTTCCCCTGAACCCCTCTGCACCACTCTGAACCGCACAGGCTGTACCAGCTGGCTTGGCGAGTGAGGACAGGCCTGGTGTATGACAGAGAGACCCTGGAGCCACGGGGTGAGTGGGCGAGGGGGAGGGATGTGATGGGGATTGAGAGTGTTGTGCGTTCACATGCAACCACCACATGCAGCCATCACATGCAGCCACCACATGCAGCCATCACATGCAGCCGTCACATGCAGCCGTCACATGCAGCCGTCACATGCAGCCATCACATGCAGCCATCACATGCAGCCATCACACGCTGTGCACTCTGCTGAGGCATACCATGCCGTGATATGCCATGATATGCCATGATATGCCATGCCATGTCAATCCCCTCACATCCCTGCCATGCCTTCTCTCCTGCGCTTCCCGCTGCTTCCAGGCAGCTTCCAGCACGGCATGGCAGATGGGTGGGGGCTATCGGTGCTGAACGAGTCTGTGATGGTGGGCACCGACGGCTCCTCCACGCTCTTCCACCTCCACTCCTCCTCCTTCAAAGGTGAGTAGCCAAGGGTTCCTCCTCCTTCAAGGGTGAGTGGCAAGTGACTGCTGCTTCAAAGGCGAGTAGCACGGGACACATGGGCAACGAGTCTGTGATGCTAGGCACCGACGGCTCCTCCCCGCTCTTCCACCTCCACTCCTCCTCCTTCAAAGGTGATTGGCAGCCCCACTCTCTCCCCTCCAGCCGTGGCACGAGTGACGGTGAAGGACGGCAGGCGGCGCATCCCCAACCTGAAGGAGCTGGAGGTGGTGGGGGTCTCAACCGCCCCCTCTTTCTCCTTGCCCCGTCCCCCCCCCCCCCCCCCCCCATTCTCCCCCCAATTCTCCAGCCGTGGCGCGAGTGACAGTGAAGGACGGCGGGCGGCGAATCCCCAACCTGAACGAGCTGGAGGTGGTGGGGGGGCTCGTGTGGGCCAACGTGTGGCAGTCCAACTGCATCGCCGCCATTCACCCCGACTCCGGCCGAGTGCTCGCATGGCTGGACCTGTCTGAGCTGCAGTGAGTTGGTGGTTGGGTCGACCCAGAAGGCATCAGCAGCTCTTGTCTGCTTCTTCTCACTGCTTGGCTCTCCGATCTGCCACCACCATTGGTGCACCTGGATGCCCAACTCTTATCCTCCATCCCATGGCATGTGCTCAATTCCTCTCGTGCTGTGCTGCTCCCTGCATGTGCGTGTCTCTTCCGTCCTTGGACCCATGCATGCAGGCGTCAAGCCTCTGAAAGATCAAACCAGCTCGGATCACCGGTAAGTGGCTGTGTTAGGTTTTCAAGAATTCTCAAAAACGTCAGTGGGAATTGTGGCGTCGTAGGACATGTTCGGCCATGGTTGTACCGGAGTGCATTATGGACCGTGGGAGCAACATGGGTACAGTAGGGGTGTACAAGAATGTGCGCAATAAGGTGTCATGGGTACCGTAGTGGCATCGGCGACTTGTGCTGATGTGGAACTGTATGGCTGCTGTGATGCGTGCGTCACTCAGGGATTCGACGTGCTCAACGGTATCGCATGGGACTCCAAACGCAACCGCCTTTTCGGTGAGAAGCCAACCCCTGTCATTTTCGATATTTTGTTGCCCCTTTCCTTCATTATAAGCCATTGGTTCGTCAGGAGTGTGTTTCTGTTGAGGTGCCCTTGTTTCGTTGACATCCACCCCACCCCACCCCACCACACCCTGCTCCACCCCTCTGCACCCTGTTGTGTGTTTTATGAAATTGCAGTAACAGGAAAATACTGGCCACTAATGTTCCATATCAACCCAAGAATGGCCCCTCTAAAAGCGACCCCACAGGAGCGACTTGCAGAGCTGAAGCTAGTTAGACAACGGTGTCAACCTGTAAGACAATTCTTCACGTAAGGTGGCTGTTAGGTACTACTAGTAAAAGTTGATCAGCCTCTGTAAACACTTGGTGAATATTTCCCCAGATATTGCGGATCTGTATTCTTGTTGTTACAAGTTGGCAGGGCAACAAGTCGTGGTTGTATCGAACCATTCCTCTCAACAGGCGCCCATATTCTCCTGCAGTCCACGATCCTCGCCGCGTTTTCAGGGAGTATAGTTAACCAGGCGGGAATCTACCGTAACCCTCGCTAGCGATCGCGTATCTCCTTCCCGCCACTTTGGAAGCTTCTCAGCGCTCCGACACCCGCGTTCCTCGCCAATCCTCCGCTGCTCCCTTAACCCTTCTGCGCGACCATGGCGGACCCGATGGACGTGGACGCCACGCAAGCCGGCTTGCGGAAGGCGCAGGACAAGGGGAAGCGGAAGCTGGACGACGGGGGATAGGGCAAGGGGAAGGCGGAAGACGCGGCGAACGGGTCGCGCGGCGCCGCGAGTGCCGCCGCGATGCCGTGGGTGGAGAAGTACCGGCCGAAGTCGCTTGCTGACGTGGCGGCGCATAAAGACATCGTGGATACAAGTTAGTGGGAGGGGCGGCATTGGGTCCATCCGCGCTGCCAACAAAGCCTTTAAGCTCTTGCTTTGTGCTTTTACCCTATGCTCCATAGCCCCCCTCACTTCCCTCACCAGCAGCACATGGGCAGTGCTGCTAGCGGCACCTTGGACTTACTGCCTTCTCTCTCCAAGCTCAAACTAAACCTTCTTTTGTTTCGCAAGCTGTACACTCCCTCCCCCCTCCTCCCCCCCCCTCTCCCCACCCTCAATTTCTGCCCTGCAGTCTCGCGCCTCACCTCCTCCAACCGTCTCCCCCAATTCGTGCTGTGCAGCTGGAGGAGATGGCGCCGGGTTTTGCTCTACGGCCCGCCCGGCGCGGGCAAGACCTCCACGGCCCGGGCGGTGTGCAGAACACAAAGTCAGCGCTTTTCCCCTCCCCCCCCCCTACTCCTCCCTCTGCTGCAATCAGCCGTCTGACCTCATCCAACCGCCTCCCCCATCTCCTCTTATACGGCCCGCCTGGCACGGGTAAGACCTCCAACGGTACAGGCGGTGGCGCGCCAGCTATACCGGGCGGACGGCGTGCGCAACACAATGTCAGCCGCTTTTTCCCCTCTCTCCCCCTCCCCACCCCCCATCCCCCCCTCTTCCTCAGTCAGTCGTCTCACCTCGTCCAACCGTCTCCCCCACCTGTTACTCTACGGGCCGCCCCGGACCGGCAAAACATCTACTGTGCTGGCGGTAGCGCGGCAACTGTACGGGGCGGGCGGCGTACGCAACATGTGTCTTGAGCTGAACGCCAGCAATGAACGCGGAATCGATATTCTCAGGCAGCAGGTGCAGGACTTTGCCTCCACGCAGTCCATCAGCTTCGGGTGAGTCGAGGCAAGTCAACGGAAGTCGATTAGCTTCGGCGTCCATCCTCTATGCTTCTTTCCTTCAAGCGTGTGGATTAATAATGCTCCCCTCTCCCCTCACTGCCCCACGTCCCCGTCACTGCCCCAGCCGGCCCCGTCGCCTAGCTGGTTCCGTAGCCTAGCCGGCCATGTAGCCTCGCCGCCCGCGGCCCCGTCTCCTAGCCGCCACGCGGCCCCGTCTTCCAGCCGCCACACGGCCCTGTCTCCTAGCCGCCACGCGACCCCGTCTCCTAGCCGCCGGGCGGCCCGGTCGCTTGCCCGCCACGCGGCCCTTGTTGACCAGCCGCCATGCGGCCTCGCCGCCCAGCCTCCTCGCGGCCCCATCCCTCAGCTGCCCCTATGGCTCCCACCTCGCTTCATCGACCCTTTCCACCGCACTGCACCGCCCTGCACTGCACTGCACCGCATTGCACCGCACCCTACCGTACTGCACCTCACTCTACCGCAGTCTACCGCACTGCACCGCAACGCACCGCACACTGTTGCTCAGTACAGCCCACTACCGCCTTTCTGCTGCTGCAGCGACCATGATGGCGGACTCGGTGTTGCGCTTTGACGCGGAGGGTCAGCCGGCTGAGTTCGACACGTGGCTCGTCGACCTCCGCCGTCACCTCACTAGTCAGCGGCAGGACGGCCACTCCCAGGCCGTCCACATAGATGGTACGCTCCCCTGCCCTGACTCCCCTGCAGCTCTACCCGCTAACTCTACGTCTGCTGACCAAGAGTCCACTGCCGCTACTGCCCTTGCTCGTGCTGTCTGGTTGTCACGTGACGCTATCACACACCAAGCGATTAGTCATGCCCTCCCCCTGTCTGAGCGCCCCCGCTTTAGGTCCGTCAGGACTGCGCAGGAGTTCCTCAAGGCTGTTGTCGCGCGCTATTTTACCCCGCCCTCTGCCTCCGTCGGTCGCCTGATCCTGCCCATGCTCTTTCCTGATCTCACGTCCTTCTCCACTGTCGCTGACCTGGACGCCCACTTGCGCACGCTAGATGCGACCTGACGTGCTTCCTGCACTGAGGCCCAGCTCCTTGTGCTCCAGCCCCCCATCTGCTCTACCCTCTACTTGCTTACCACCCGCCTCCCTGACTGTCATGCTACCGCCCGCAATCACTTCCTTAATCTCCACCCGGCTGACCTCACCCTCACTGACTTTGTCGACACCCTGTCTGCCATAGAGACGTGCCAGCGCTCTATCGCCCAGTCACCCGATCACTATTTTTCAGGGCTGTGCCCCCGCCCGGTGCACTTATTCTGACAGTTCTGCTGCTGTCGCTGAGATCGCCCCTGCTGCGGAGACAATCGCCGCGGCTATCGCAAAAAAAAATCGTCCAGGAAAGGGTCGTCACTTCAAGGCTGGGCGCGGCGGAGGTAGCGGAGGAGGGGGTGGAGGCGGAGGCGGAGGTGAAGGTGGTTTGCCCGCTGGTAGTACTGACGAGGGGGCTGGGGCTGGTGCCACGGAGCAGCAGCCCCAGCAGCAGGCGCCGCAGCTAGACTAGCAGCAGCAGCAGCCGTAGTAGCCGCAGTAGCGGGGGGGTCGGCCGTCTCCTGCCCATGTGGCCTGGCGACGGTGGTGGAGGTGGTCGCAGTGGCCGTGCGCGCAGCGTGACATCGGGTGGTGGTCCGAGTGACGGGCGCTGCCAGTACCAGCTCCAAAACGGTCCTCGCCGCGGCCTCGTGTGCAGTAAGATCGGCCATACCCCCACTCGTTGTTTCAATCGCCTAGACGACCTATTTCGTCTCCGCTTCGACCCGACGTCAGACCTCCCCGACTGGTACAATCTGCTCCGCCGTGGTGTTAGGATATTTGATGTGGACATGGACGAGATTAGCTCTACTTTGTATGTGCTGTATGTCGATGACTCTAGCGTGACTGGTTCCTATTACCCCTTGGTTGTGTAGTGAAGGTGTGCCTAGTTCAGGCTCCCCTGTTGCGTCAGGCGTAGGATCCCCTGCTCTGTTTAGCCTTGGTTCCACCCTCGCTCCTTCGATCCTTGCCGCCACTGCCACGCTCTCCTTCACACTTGACTCCTGCGTGTCCCGGTTTTTCTTTCGGGACTCCATTAAGCGTACGCCGCTTGCTGCTCCCGCCGCAGTTGCCCTTGCAGACCCTTCCTCAGGTCCTGTAAGCACCCGTAGCTCCACCACATTTCCCTTTCCAGCGATTCTTTCAGGCTCCCTTACAGGCCTACACATCCCCTCGTTCTCTAGAAACCTAGTTGGTATCGGCTGCCTCCAGGTCCTTGGTGTCACCACTACGTTCACTGGTCACAAGCGGTACGCTGTCTGTACCGAGGCCGCCACTGGTGCTCCCCTCACCACGTTCCCTTGGGACCCGGTGTCTGGCCTGTTCACGCTGGACACCGTGTTCCCCACAGCTGAGACATCTCCCTAGGTGTCTGCGTCTACCCAGCTTGTTGCGGCTTGCAGGTGTCGGTCGCTTACTCATCCGACGCTTCTATGGCACCACCGTCTAGGTCACCCTGCCCTCATATGTCTTCATCACATGTCTCAACACAGTCTTGTCTTAGGTCTCCTTGAGTCGTTCCCCGCGCTACCCTCCTCACCAGCGCTGCCGTGCACGCCCTGCATTGAGGGCCGGCTCCGCCGTGCCCCCCACTCCTCCTCGTTCCTCCCCACCGCCGCATCGCTGCAGGCCCTGCACATGGACGACTGGGGCCCCGCCCCCGTCCATGGGCGGCGTCGAGAGCGCTACTTCCTAGTGCTTTTCGCACGACTACACGTGCTACACCACGGTGTTTCCCCTGGAGCGGAAGGCCGACGTGCCTGACTTTCCTATCCCGTAGCTTGTCTCTGAGCATGTTCACCGCGGTCTCCTAGTGTTGCGTCTTCACTCCGACCGTGGTGGCGAGTTCGCCTTTGGCTGCCTTGGTCGCTTCTGTCGTGCGGAGGGCATCACCCAGACGTACACCCTGCTGGACTCCCCGCAGCAGAATGGGGTCGCTAAGCGACGCATCGGTTTGGTCATGGAGGTGGCTCATACCTCCATGATCCATGCTAGTGCACCCCATTTTCTGTGGCCGATCACTGTTTGCTACGCCGCTCACCTGCTTCACCTGTGGCCGCACCCTCAGCAGCGGCAGGTTTCGCCGACCCTCCTCTAGACCGAGTCCCCTGGTGACGCGTCTGTGTTCTACGTCTGGGGCTGCCTTGCTCACATTCGTGCCTCTGGCACGGACAAGCTCACAGCCCACTCTGTCCCCTGTGTCTTCCTAGGTTTCCCCCTTGACTCGTCTGACTGGCACTTCTACCACCCGCCGTCTCACCGCTTCTTTCACTCCCGCGACGTCACATTTGACGAGTCTGTCTTCTTTTACCACCGCTTTTCCCACCGTGGTCCCCCGGTTACCCCCCCCCCTATTCCTGGTTCCCCCTCCCCGGGTTGCCTCGCCCCCCCCCCCCCCCCCTCCCGTCCCTGCCCCGTCTGGTGTGTCTCACGTCACCCCTCACCCGTCGGGTGTCCCTGTCGAGGAGTCTGCTGACTCTCACGGCACTGCGGAGTCCCTCTCCCCGCCCCTCCGCGCCCCGGTCTCTCCTCCCCCGTCACCACTGTTGCTGTCCCCGCCGCACCCGCCTCCGCCACTTCCGTCACCACCGCGGCCGCAGCCGCCGTCGTCACCGCCACTGGGGTTCATGCATTGTGGGGGTGCTGGGAAGCGTGCTAGAGCGGGTGCTGGAGCGGGTTCCCGTTCTGGGGGTGCTGGCGTGGAGCTTCTCGGAGGGAGCCGTGTTGTCGCTGAAAGTTCTGGTCTTGGATTCGGACAGCAGTCGCAGCAGTCGCCACCGGTGTCCGCTCTTCGCCTCCTCGATCTTCCTTCCCTTGACCGTCTGCCGGTGCCTGCTCCGTCGCCGCCACCTCCTCCTCCTCCGGTCCACGACCCAGTGTTTCCTCCCCCGGACTCCTCTCCGGCACGTTTCTCTCCCCGTTCCTCCTCTTGTGTCTCCTCCCCTCTCTCCTGACCCGACTCCTCCGTCTCACGTCTGGTCTCGTCGTCCGTCAAGTGCTCGTCCTACCTCCCCTGTTCAATGGTCTCACCCTATGTTGCTTCGCTCCCACGCGTCTCGTGCTCCTCCGCTCCTCCCGTCTTCCCCTCCGTCGTCGCTTGCTGTGGCCCCGCCCCAGCTCTCTGACCTCCTCCGTGCTGTGCGTCCCGTTGTTCCTTTTGTCCTTGCCTCTCTTGTTACCGACTCGTCCGTTCCTGTCTCGAGTCTGTTGGCTCTTGTCGCAGCCGTCACTGACTTTGCCTCTACCCGCCGCCTTGACTACGCCACCGCTCTGCTCTCTGACCCTGCCTGCCCTCCGCCCGTCGGGGGTGTGGCTTCCCTTGGCAGTGACGTCCTAGAGGACAGACAGCACGAGCTTGCTTTCCTGTCAGAGGTCGCTCCCCATCTCTGTTCCATGCTGCCAGTCCCTGCGAGTGACCCAGACTCCCTTGACATCCCGACCACTTGCACCTACGCTGAGGCCACCTCGGGACCTTGGGCCTCTCAGTGGATAGCTGCCATGGAGCAGGAGATGGCATCTTGGAGATCCACAAGTACCTTCGTCGACGCAGTTCCTCTACATAGGGTGAACGTAGTCGATGGCCGATGGCTCTTCAAGGTGAAGCGCCCTCCTAGAGAACCGCCTGTCTTCAAAGCACGCTACGTTGCTCGAGGCTTCAATTAGTGTGAGGGGGTGGACTTCTTTCAGACCTTCGCCCCGACCCCGAAGATGACTACTCTTCGGGCACTACTACACGTAGCACCATAGCGTGACTACGAGCTGCACTCCCTTGACTTCTCCACAGATTTTCTCCATGGCAGTCTATAGGAGCAGGTTTACCTGCGCTGCCCCCAGAGCTTCTCCGGTACCTTTCGCTCTGGTACCAAGTGGCTCTTCCGGCGCCCCGTCTACGGCTTGCGACAGGCGCCCCGTGAGTGGCACGACACGCTATGTGCTACACTTGCTGACCTGCAGTTCTTCCCGTCTTCTGCTGACCCCTCGCTCTTCGTCCGTTCCGGCCAGACTCCGTTCTACATCCTTGTCTACGTAGTTGACATAGTCTTTGCTACTGCAGACAGAGACGCGCTGACCTCCGTGAAGGCCGAGCTGCTGAAGAGACACACCTGGATTGACCTAGGAGAGTTGCGCCGCTATCTTGGCTTGCAGATCTCCAAGGACAGAGTAGCGCGCACCATCACTCTCTCACAGTCACACTTGGTACGCCAGGTTCTTCAGAGGTTCGGCCTCCAGTTCTCTTCCGCACAGCCCACCCCTCTGCCAGTAGACCACAGACTCTGTGCTCCAGTCCCGGAGGAGGCTGTAGAGCCTAGTGGTCCGTACGCAGAGCTGGTGGGTTGCTTCATGTACATGATGACTTGCACTCGTCCAGATCTCGCATACTCTCTGAGCATCCTAGCTTGCTTTGTGGCCACATGGAGACACCGACCACAACACTGGTCGGCAGTTAAGAGGGTTTTGCGTTATCTAGCAAGTACATCAGGCATGGGGCTAGTGCCAGGAGGACGCAGACAAGTGGTCCTTACTGGGCACACAGACGCTTCCTGGGCCAACGACTCCGATACTCTCAGGTCCTCCCAGGGCTACTGTTTTAGCCTTGGTTCAGGTGCCATCTCGTCGAGGTCCACTCGCTCCTCATCTGTTGCCAACTCTAGGTGTGAGGCTGAGATCTACGCCGGTGCCATGGCGGCACAGGAGCTTTGCTAGCTGACGTTCTTGCTCACCAACTTAGGTGAGCGGCCTAGCTCTGCCCCGGTTCTGTATGTTGACAACATGGCCATGATCCTCCTGTGTCAAGAGCCTAGATTCGAGGGCAGGGCGAAGCACATCCAATTGCGGTACTTCCTTCTGCGTGAGCTACAGCAGTGTCGTCAGGCCCGCGTAGTACACTTGGCCCCCGGTGCCAATACAGCTGATATCTTTACGAAGGCGCTTGCGGCTAAAGATCATCAGCGGCACTATGTACAGCTAGGTCTCGTTCCTATAGTCTCTCATTTGCTAGGACCTTGATTGTGTACGGACCTTTATATATATTACCATGACTGGACCTGTGGCCTCTACCCAATGGCTAGTAGTGCCGCCCTGGTCGTGCTCTTGCCTTGTTTATACTCATTTGACTGGTCTTATAGACCCTTGCCTCAGAGGCTGGACTAGTAGTGCCACCCTGAGCTGCTTGTCTTTCACCAGGCACTGCCCCTATCCAGTCTAGGGGGTGTGTCAAACATATCCTTGTATATTATTATAGACTAATCAGGGTTGTGCCTTAGAGAGTACAACCCATGAGGTTATATTCCCTTGTATGCCATGGTTCTACTCATTTGTTAACTTTGATACCCACGTCTCTTGCCCACTTCCACCCGCGTCCCGTATGCCCATTTGGCAACCTCAAACAGCAACTCGACCTTCAAGCCCTCTGAAATCTCGCAAACCTTCTCCTCTCCCCCAATCCTACCGCCTGGCGTTTGGCACGAGTGAGAAGGTGCAGCTGGGGGCGCTGGTGGGGGCGTTTACTAATGCACGGGCCAAGTTGGTGGAGGGGGCGAAATAGCCCTGGGCATTGAAACGCATGCCTGCATGCATATGCAAGAAGGTGCACAAGTTGCAGCTGGGGGTGCTGGTGGGGGCGTTCACTCATGCCCAGGCGTAACCGGTGGAGGGGGCCAGGTGACTTGCCCTAACTTGCATTGACTCGAGCTGACTGGATGCGCACACGCAGCTGGGGGCGCTGGGGGGGGCGTTCACGCATGGCGGGGCCAACCAGTTGGAGAAGGCCAGTTGGTCTTATGTGGTGCGGGGACTTTGCTGTGGCGAGAGATGCATACGTACATGCATGCGTGCATACGTGCATGATGCACGGCCATGCACAGGGGAGAAGGCTGCTATGAGCTCTAGTGGGTACCTTCACTCATGCTGGGCTGAAGCTGGTGGAGGGGGGGAGACCAAGTGCAGGAAGGGATTAGCAGCGGGGACGTGGGGAGGACGAGACAGTAGGGTAGGGTATCACTGTGGGCATGGGTTGAAGCACTGCCTGTTCAGGCTTCTCCCTGGAACTGGCTGTGCTCCTCTGCTTGTATGACAAGATTTCGCTCCTGTCCATTGGCAAGTTGTTCCACCTCACCTCAAGACTGGCTCACTTACTCTGCACCCATTTGGACCGCATTGAACCGTGCAAGCAGAAATGTGTCTTGGGCAGACTGTTCTACCCATGTGTCTCCAGGTGCACATGTACACGCACTTAGCTTGTCGGTCCCCATGTGTCTCGCCATTGGGCCCATGGCTGATTTTATCATACTATTTTAGTCTGATTGTCTGAAATTTCAGACCTATTTTTTTGCCGATCCTGATTTTTCAGACTTGCCATTTTCTGAATGCTGAACCCTTCAGACTTATATGTTTTTAAATCCTGAGAATCTCAGACTTCGCAGTTTGCGGATACTGAGTTTTCAGAGCGCAGCGCGTACGGACCCTGAGACACACATACTAGTACTGCACCTCCCTGCCCTCACCCAAAAATTTCGTCTAAGTCCCCAAGGGCCAGAGTCAAGTCCTTTCACACACACCCCGCCCCGCAACCTAAAAAATCCGGCTAAGTCCTAGCAGCCAGAGATAGTTCCCCCCAGCACATTTCTCCCCTACTCGCCTCGCAGCCCCAGAAATTCGACCAAGTCCCCACAGACAGACACATCCCTCCCACACCTCTTGCGACCCTGAAATTTCGGCTAAGTCCCCACAGCAAGAAATATCCCTCCCTCAGCTCCCGCAACCCGGAAAAATCGTCGAAGTCCCTTGCAGCCATAAAAAAAATCCTCCCACAAACCCCCGCAACCCGCAATCCTGCTTATTACCCGACTTTTGTGAAGTTCCTAAAAGGGGTAACAAGAAAATCATTCATCTGGCTGGCGATTTTTTTTAATTTTTTTTTTCTGATTTCTCAGACGATGTGAAACTAACTCTAAAAAATCACACTGTCCACGGCTCAATTGAGGGAGTGTTGTTTTCCAACACGACACTTTCAGGCAACTTCGTGTCATTGCTGATTTTGCAGTCAAATTTGCCAGTCAATTAGAATTTTGATACAAAGTGTCGTGACGGTGTATCGTGTACGAACAGGCCCTGAGGGGGAGAATTCGAAAAGGAGGGGAGGGGGAATCGAGTTCGAGGGGGAAAGGGGGAGGGAATCAAATTCGAGGGAAGGGGTGAAGCGAAATGGAGGGGAGGGGGTGGGGGGAAGGGAGGGGGGAACGAAACGGACGGGAGGGGGGTGGGGGTTCGAAACGGAGGGGAGGCAAGGAAGCGAAACGGAGGGGAGGGGGGAAGCGAAACGGAGGGGGAGGGGAGGGGGGAAGCGAAACGGAAGGGGAGGGGGAGGGGGGGGGGTGGGGGGGGGGGTGGGTTCGAAAATTGAGGGGGAGGGGAGAGGATCGCGCCCCGGTTGATCGATCTTGGACGTTTATCACTTGCAACCATCGAATTGTTAAAAAACGTCGAAACAATCGCAATCGATCGTGACCGTCACATTTCTATAGAATTTCAGTTGACCAAACGGGTGTCAAACATCTGCATTTGTCATGTTTGTATAGACTGTATAGGGTTACCTCTTAGAGGGTACAATACTTACGTATACTTGTGTGTACTCTCACTTTACAATCTATTCAATTCTCATTTCTGATATGGTATCACGCGTAGGTAGGATCCCCCCCACCTACCGCTTCCGCTCATGCCCCCTAGCGCCCCTCCTGGGCCCCGTCGCGCTCCTCTCAGGCCCCCTAGCGCCCCTCCCAGGCCCCGTCGCGCTCCTCCCAGGCACCGTAGCGCCCCGTCGCGCCCCTCCTGGGCCCCGTAGCGCCCCTCCTGGGCCTCGTCGCGCCCCTCCTGGGCTTCGTAGCGCCCCTCCTGGGCCCTGTAACGCCCCTCCCAGGCCCCGTCGCGCCCCTCCCAGGCCCCGTCGCGCTCCTCCCAGGCCCCCTGGCGTCCGCTCCTCGGTCGCGCTCCCCAGCCCCGCCCCGTCGCGCCCCTCCTGGGCCCCGTAGCGCTACTAAGATGCTGTGATCAAGCGTTATTCCACACCTCCGGCTGCCTCGGTGGGTCGCCTGATCCTTCCGATGCTCTTTCCTGACCTTGCATCTTTCCCCACTGTCTCTGACCTCGCTGCCCACCTGCGCTCGATAGATGAGACCTGGCGCGCTGCCTGCACTGACGCCCAGCTTAGAGCCCACCAGCCGCCCATTACCTCTACCCTCTACCTGCTTGCCACCCGCCTCCCTGACCGCCTTGCTGTCGCCCGCGACCGCTTTCTTAGCGTTCACCCCGCAGACCTCACCCTCACTGACTTTGTAGACACCCTGACTGTGATAGAGACCCGTCACCGCTCCATTGCCCAGGCGAGCGGTGTCGTGCCGGTCCCTATCTTTCAGGGTTGTGCCCCCGCTCAGTGCACCTTCTCCGACGGCTCTGCCGCAGTGGCTGAGATTGCTGCTGCAGCGCAGGTCCGTTCGGGGAAGGGTCGCCGCCCCAAGGCTGGGCGCGGCGGAGGAGGCGGCGGGGGTGCGGGCGGGGGTAGTGGTGGGGTCGGGTCGCCTGGTGCTGGAGTGGACGAGGGGACCCTGCCCAGTTCAGCTGAGTCGCCGCCCCTGCAGGTGCAGCAGCCGCAGCAGCCGCCGCAGTCGCAGCCTTCGCAGCAGCCGTCGCAGACGCGGCAGACGAGTGTCCTCCCGCCAGGGTGGCCCGGCGCTGGCGGTGGCCGGGCGCGTGGTGGTGTGCCGCGTGGTGGCTCTGGCGGCGGGCGTTGCCAGTACCAGATCCAGACCGGTCCTCGCCGCGGCTTCGTTTGCGGTAAGCTCGGTCACTCCACTCCCCGCTGTTTTCGTCGCCTGGACGACCTCTTTCGTCAGCGCTTCGGCCCGTCGCCAGACCTCCCGGACTGGCACAGTTTGCTTAGTCGTCAGATTCAGATTTTTGATATGGACATGGATGCCATTGTTTCTGCTCTGCATGTGATGTATGCTGATGACTCTAGTGTGCTTCCCGCTTATTACTCACTGTTGCCTAGTGTATGTGTGCCTAGCTTAGCCTCCCCTGCTGCGTCAGGCGTAGGATCCCCTGCTTTGTGTAGTCTTGGTGCTTCCGTCGTCGTTCCGTCGCCAGACCCCTCGGCTTCGCTTTCCTTCACTTTGGACTCTGGCGCCTCTCGGTGTTTCTTCCGCGACTCCACCACCCTGACGCCGCTTCCTGTTCCTGCTGCCGTTTCTCTTGCTCACCCATCCGGCGGTCCGGTAGTCGCCCGCAGTTCCACCACCCTTCCCTGTCCGGCGGTTCCTTCGGGTTCTCTTACAGGTCTGCATATCCCCTCGTTCTCCAGGAACCTAGTTGGTGTCGGCTGCCTCCAGGACCTTGGCGTCACCACTACGTTCCCTGGTCACGAGCGGTATGCTGTCTGTACCGAGGCCGCCACTGGTGCCCCCCTGTCCACGTTCCCCTGGGACCCGGTGTCCGGCCTGTTCACTCTGGACACCGTGACCCCCCCTCAGGTGGCTGCGTCTACCCAGGTTGCTGCTGCCTGCTCCTGTCGCTCCCTCACTCACCCGACCCTCCTGTGGCACCACCGCCTAGGTCACCCTGCGCTCCCGCGTCTGCGTCACATGTCTCAGCACGGTCTCGTCCTTGGTCTCCCAGGTTCGCTCCCCGCGTTTCCCTCCTCTCCAGCCCCACCTTGCACGCCTTGTGTCGAGGGTCGGCTTCGCCGTGCCCCTCACTCCTCCTCGTTTCCCCCTACCGCCGCGCCGCTGCAGACCCTGCACCTGGACGTCTGGGGCCCCGCCCCCGTCCCTGGGCCGCGTCGAGAGCGCTACTTCCTTGTGCTTGTCGACGACTTCACTCGTTACACCACCGTCTTTCCCCTGGAGCGCAAGGCCGACGTGCCTGGCGCTCTCATCCCCTGGCTTGTCTCTGCGCGTGTCCACCACGGTCTCCCTGCCTTGCGTCTTCACTCAGACCGTGGTGGCGAGTTTGCCTCCGGTGTCCTTGGTCGCTTTTGTCGTGCGGAGGGCATCACCCAGACGTTCACCCTACCGGACTCCCCACAGCAGAATGGGGTCGCTGAGCGACGCATCGGTTTGGTCATGGAGGTCACTCGCACCTCCATGATCCATGCCGGTGCACCCCATTTTCTGTGGCCGTTCGCTGTGCGCTACGCTTCCCACCAGCTTAACCTGTGGCCGCACCCTCATCAGCCGCAGGTTTCGCCGACCCGTCTTTGGACTGGGTCCCCTGGTGACGCGTCTGCGTTCCACGTCTGGGGCTGCCTTGCTCACGTCCGTGCCTCCGGCACGGACAAGCTCACTGCCCGCACCCTTCCCTGCGTCTTCCTCGGTTTTCCCCTTGACGCGTCCGACTGGCACTTTTACCACCCGCCGTCTCACCGCTTCTTTCACTCTCGTGACGTCACCTTTGACGAGTCCGCCTCCTACTACCGCCGCTTTCCCCACCGTGGTCCCCCGGTTACCCCCCCTCTGTTCCTGGTCACCCCTTCCCCGGTAGTCCCTGCCCCTCCTCCTCCTCCTCCCCGTCCAGACCCCCTCTGGTGTGTCCCACGCCACCCCCCTTCCGTCCGTGGACCCGGTTGAGGAGTCTTCTGCCTCTGGTGGCCCTCCTGTGCAGTCCTCGCCGGCCGCCCCTCCCCAGGTGTCCCCTCCCCAGTCCCCTCCTCCACCGCCCCTACCGCTGCTGCAGCCGCCGCCGCCGTCGCCTCCGCCGCCGCCGCCGCCGCCGTCGCAGCTCCCGTTCGTCGACTCTGGGGGTGCTCGTCCCGGTCGCCCTGGGGGTGGTCCCTCTGGGGGTGCTGGTGTGGAGAGTGTCGGGGGTAGCCGAGGAGCAGCTAGCGGTCCCGGTGTCGCCGTTGTGCCGCCGCAGCAGCAGTCCCCGCCGGTGTCAGCCCTTCGCCTGCTCGGCCTGCCGTCCCCCGACCCTGCGTCGGTTCCTCCCCGACCGTCTCCTCCTCTTCCTGTCTACGGCCCTGTTTTCCCTCCGCCGGACTCGTCCCCGGCTCGTCTCCCCCCTCGTTCCCCTCCTGTGTCCCCTCCCCTGTCTCCTGACCCGACTCCTCCGTCGCACGTCTGGTCTCACCGCCCCTCCCGTGCTCGTCCTGCCTCGCCTGTCTTGCGCTCCCACCCTATGTTGCTTCGTTCGCACGCGTCTCGTCCTCCCCTTCTCCCGTCGCCTCCTCCGTCCTCCCTTGTTGTTGCGCCCCCCCCGCTGTCCGACTACCTTCGTGCCGCTCGTCCTCTTGTTCCTCGGGTCCTTGCCTCTCTCGTTACCGACCCGTCTGTTCCGGTCTCGTGCCTTGACGCTCTTGTCGCTGCTGTCGCTGACTTCGCCTCTACCCGCCGCCTTGACTACGCCACAGCTCTGGTCTCTAACCCTGCCTGTCCTCCGTCTGTCGGGTGTGCTCCTGCCCTTGGCAGTGACGTCCTGGAGGACCGCCAGTTCGAGCTTGCTTTCCTGTCTGAGGCTGCTCCCCATCTCTGTTCCATGCTGCTAGTCCCTGAGGGTGACCCACACGCTTTCGACATCCCGACCCCTCGCATTACGCTGAGGCGACTTCGGGACCCTGGGCCTCACAGTGGATAGCTGCCATGGAGCAGGAGATGGCATCTTGGAGATCCACCGGCACCTTCGTCGACGCAGTTCCCCCACCTGGGGTGAACGTAGTCGATGGCCGCTGGCTCTTCAAGGTGAAGCGCCCTCCTGGAGAGCCGCCTGTCTTCAAGGCGCGCTATGTTGCTAGAGGCTTCAGTCAGCGCGAGGGCGTGGACTTCTTCCAGACTTTCGCTCCGACCCCGAAGATGACTACTCTTCGGGTTCTGTT